AATGTTAAATCCCGAGAGTAGAAACACGCAATGGGTCGAGCGATTACCCAGCGTGATCAAAGCTATAAACGATGAAACGACGAGATTAATAGCTAAAGCACCGTCAGAGGCGGTTAAACTTGAACAGGTCCGACAATCGCCGGCTAACCCCGTTAAAACAAAAGAGCAACAATTACCGCAAGATGCCATGGTTAGATATTTATATTACCCGGGCGAGCAAGAGGGTGGAACCTCGAGAAGAGCCACGGATCCCATTTGGAGCGTAGACATCTTCAACGTGGAAAAAAGAACGAGTCAATTTAAAATGATTAACGGTAAAAAAGTCACGACGGGTCCTACTCTTTATTACCTTCAAAACGGCCCAAAAAGGAGTTTTGTGAGACAAGAGCTTCAAGTCGTACCCGAGGACACGCAATTACCGCCTAATTAATATCTAGATTGCGGTGACCATAAGCGAGCGTGTGTATTCCATCCGGTAAAATGTACCTCTTTGTGTCCAACGGGCTCAACGATAGTTTATTTTGAGATACGGTGTAAAGGATGTGATTTTCCGACCTAATGTGAGTCATGGTTTCATAATGAGATTTCTTGTTTAAGATGCAGTCGTAATAGTGTCGGTGTTTTAATTTCTTAGAGGTGACCGATTTTGTGACACCCTTGGCTTTTTTCAGGTTGATGTCAGCGGTTAAAATCGAGTACATTTTAGGTCTTATGCAAACGACTTCTTTGACTATTTTACCTCCAAACTCGTCTTTAAATTTACCGATCACTTTCTTATTGGTTGGGTCGTACAAAGGATGATCCGTCGGATAATTCGAAAGGTCGTATTGTTGCCCGTTTTGCTGCACATCTTTGTACACGTCGTCAGTGTGCACTACGAGTACCAAACTGTCCGTATCTGTGTACATCAACCTGATTTTCTCTTTGTACTTGTCTTTCAAATGGTTGTAATAAAAATCGTACATCAGCGTCTTAGATAGATCCAAGATACTCACTCCGCAATAGATTGGTTTGTTTAACACGGTTTTAGTCTTGTACTTTTCGACAAATGACAATTTGCATTCTGAAAATGACGTCGTCGTTTTGTAGCTCGGTTTCTGTATAATTGTTTGGTATTTATCTCGATCGTCATCGTTATTGTCTCTGAGCAGGTAACCGTCAATCCGGTTTCTGACGTTTTCCATCGTCTTACCAAACACGCTATTATTCATCAGTTTAAAAAAGTCTTTCTCAAAATCAGAGGTCGCTTTTGTTCGGAGTTGCGTGTTTTTGTCTATGTAAGATGCCATCCAAGGCGCTTGTTTAAATTGCAACACTCGATGTACCTTTTTAAGTTTCAAGCCGAGTTTGAGATACAACTGCAACGTGACGTAGTGCAAAACATATTTTTGTTTAGGATTAAGGGTACACGTTAATTTTTGCACGTTGCTACTAGGTTCGGTATCCAATAACTCGTTTTGATAATCAGACATCCATTCTTTTGGTATGACGATATTTTCTGGCGCTAGGGGATAATCGTTGTGCAGGTCGTGGAGATTATCCGGGTAATCGAGGTCTACTTCAAAGCAGTAACCGGTGTTTGACGTTTTTCTGAGCGATAATATCTTAGACTCGGTAAACGTTTTTGTAGACGCCCATTTAAAGTCTTTGTACGGCAGGTATTGACTCATGGCCCAGCCGTACAGATTGTTTGCATCGAGGTAGGTGATGTAACTCGACGGCTCGTTTGGATTATGGTCGGGTAGGTATTTGTTGTTGGCTTTGTGGTATCTCATACCACCCACGCTTGAGATACCACCTCTTTTTGCTTTTTCAAAAAATAAATGTTTGTCTACGTCTTGCAATAGTTCGAGTTTAATTTCCGAGTGTTTTAACAAGGCATCCCACGACAATCCTGGTGCTGTATAGTAATTAGCCGGATCTAACGCGTAGTTTGTAATGCACGTTTTCCTAAAGTTTTCAAATACGCATGCCAGTAATAACGTATCGGTAGTGACGTACAAATCGTGATATTCCCCCATGTTTTTAACTTTAAACTCGTTCCACGTCAGTTTAGCTCTGTCGTAGTCCTCTCGCGATATATTTTCGTCTTTTAGGCTGCTGTAAAATTGTTCGATGGGGGGTAGGCTGGTCTCTTGAAATCTGTCAAACGAGTCCATGTATTCATACGGATAAACTCCTTTTTGTAACAACGAGTCGATATTTTGACGATTAAAATGTTCTCTGAGTAGTTTAAACGACTCTCTCGGACAAGCTTTAGATAATCTATCCAACGAAGACGCCATAAAATTAAACGAGTCTATAAATCGCATATTTCCGATCGAAAACGAAATATACTTTTCCGAATTTCTAGCGATAACTTGTATTTCCTTTTCATCGTACTCTGAAATACTCTGCATGATCAAGTGAGCGTCGTAATTTTGCAGATTGTGAAAGACGACCGGTATGGGGGTAAAACCTGGTTTAACTTGTAATTTTAGATTGCAGTAGGCGTGCGCGGTACCTCTATATCTACCCGTGACGTGGCAGTGATCTCTCACCTTTCTAAATTTGTTGATTTTCTTTTTGCATTCGAGGCATTTAGACTCTGTAAATCCATTTTTGTTTTCGTACTGATGTTCTTTTATTTGTTTTTCTGTTTTTGGTTTTTGGGGTTTCTGGCACTGACAGTTGCTCGAGTAATTGGGATAAATTGGTTTCTCGCAAATCCAACACGTGTTTGTTGTATCATGATGTTCTTTAGCTCGCTCATTAAATTTCATGGGTTGGGGTTTTTTAAATATGCAATTTATGTCGCTTTGTATTTTTAACATTTTATGTACAAACTTTGATACAGCATCTTTACCTCTATAAGTCTCTTGATACGCATTGGTGCCGTCGCATCTAACTACTACCAACGAGTAACCGCTAGCTTTGTGAATGTTTGTCTTTTGCGTGTTGTTCTTTTTATCGTCCGAGTTTTTTTCTAATATCGATTCAAAGTCGGCGTAAACTACAAACGGTGCTTTTTGTTTAAACCTGTAGTTTTTAAATTCTAATGTTGGCACATCGTTTTCGTCGACTATCCACTCGTTATTTACATATTTTTGCTTAGCGGTAGGAAATACAATCTTTGACGGATGTGTATCTATACCGTTACAATCGGCCATGTGTCTATCTAATTTTACTTGCGTTCTATAATGACTCAGGCACCTTCGACAAAAATATTTCTTACTTTTATCTTTTGTAACGTTGTGAAGCAATCTCGAAAAGTTATTTATCCAGCAGTAGTGATGCTTGTCGCCCTCAGAAAACAAAAACAGATCGATAGGTCGTGACTCTGGTTTGTAGTTTTTAGACACGTATAACGGATATATTTCCCCCTCATAACCGTATACGTTTATCGTTAAATTATTTTGTCTTTCTATCTTTGGTATCTGGTCGATCGGTGTTGGAAAGTCTACGCCTTTAAATTTGAGTCCGTCGTCTTTGGTGTATACAACAGGTTCTTCTTTATGAATTTTATATTTAGGATCGTTTTTTATGTTATTTTTTACTTTATCCGTATACAACCCAAGAGCAGCTCTCAAACACCATCTCAAACACTCGTCGTCTTTGTTTTTAATGTTAATCATCGCCGTTTTCTGTTTGATACATTTTGGTAGGTCAATATAAGAACTACCTCTCACAGGGTTAAACCTGTTGATGTTGATATACAACGCCATTATCTTTTTTAAAACCCAACCCGATCCTTGATTCGTATACCTTTCATCCTTTTTAAATATCTGGTCGATGTCTTCTTTTAAAACCTGTTTTATTTGACTTTGATTTAAAACGACTCTCTGATCGGTAAAATGTGTAGCTTCGATCGTTTCGATCGTACCATCGGGTTTGGTTTTTTCGTATTTTATTTTGATTGTGAGCTCCATTTTTAAACCTCTCAGCTCTCTCAATTCTGACTTGATTTTATTTACAATTTGATCTTTGTGCGTATCAAAAAACTTGACTAAATCGTCGTTAAAAAGTCTAGGAATCAGTTCCCAGTTTCTAAAGTTATTTCTAAATCTCCTCGTCGCTCTAAACTCAGCCTCTTGAAAATACTCGGGTTGCCTAGAGTTTTGAATCGCCGAGAGTAAATCTTTTTTCAAAAATCGACCCTTATAACCCGACGGGTTATATTCTAGATCATAATCGTCTACAATCTGTTTGAGCTCATGTAGCTTCTTTTTCCTCAAGTTTCTAAATTGAGCTTCGTATTTTTTTATCCCGTTGATGTAGACTTTACGCGTAAGAGCAACATTTTGATCGTACGGTATATTATATCGCTGGACGTAATCGCGCAGCGTGGCTTTATTCCATCTAGAAAATCCCTTAACGATTGGCTTGATCATACTCATCATTTATATATATCAATATAATTTTTTTTAATTTTTTTTAAGAGGTCAGACTTTTGGATTTATAAGCAATCAGACTCACCGGCTGGTGAGGGAGATCTTCAAGACGAGAGATATTGAGCCCCGGTTTTGGCTTGGGGCTGAGATATCGGGAGGGGCGGGTGGGGTGGGGGCGTGGCCAGTGGGTGGGGGAAAGGGAGAGGGGTAAAGTCTGGTACCTGCCCCTCTCCCCATTGGCCCTGTACTACCCCCAGACCTATGGCAAAGTCTGGTATCCGCCCTTCTCCCCTACTCCTTACCTTACAAATTTCCGGCATCTATAAATTGATCCATTTTATCTTTAGTGGAGTCAGGGAACCAGACAACTCCAGCATTTGTGTTTTTCTTGTTTGTTTTCAGCATTTTCGAACACAAAACTTCAAACATATCAGTGTAACAATATTTGATCTATCATAGTAACCCCTCAAATAGTTCATTGCTGAAAATTACAGCAAAAACCAATGATGTACATTCCCTTTAAGTTTTTGAGTTGCAACAGGAGAGGGTAAATCACTGCAAATAGCACCCTCCAAATGTGTCCATCTCATAAAGGCTGCTAAGCATCACTGCAGCATCACACCTACTTACCCTGTTAGCCTGCTTGCCAACCTCCTGTATCTTAGCCTCCGATTCCCCGTGGTACTCCCGCTTCTCCTTCAAGAACTGTGACTTGAGCTTCTGGATGGTCTCCGTGTGCTTGCCTCGCATCCTCAAGACTTCCTTCTCCAGGTCACGGATCATCCGGACCTGCTCCTCTTGTAGTCTCTGCAACGACGGATGCATACAGGGAGTAAGTCTTGTAACACAATGAGCCATATTAGGTTGGTAAAGAATACAACAGAAATTCTCTATAATAGACACAGCAAATCGACAATGGGTTTAAGAGTATACCTCCTAGTGGTCTCTCCTTCTTTCTCTTTGTAACTCATTTGAAAAATGGTAATTGTACATGGAGCACATAGTAAAGTAAAGTCTGTCCCGAGCCAATGTGGCTCATCAGGCCGGCGTTTATCTCCGGTTTCAGTAGCATGAAACGACTGAGAATATTTCTACTCCCCCTGGATGGGATGCTAGTCCATCGCAGGTTACTCCCCAGCTAATGCTGGTACCCATTTATACTCCTGGGTGGAGAGGGGCAAGTGGGGGTGAAGTGCCTTGCCCAAGGACACAATATATGACCAGCGGCTGGATTCGAACCCCGGACCCTCTGATCATGAGTCACGAACGCTAACCACTAGGCCACACACTCCCCAGTATAGAGAGTTTTTGGCTGCCAATGCTTGATATAATTCTACATGCGCTGATGGTTAAAAAGTTGACCCTAACCTTCCCAACTCCATCAAAATCCATTCCCCCCATTTGGGGGATTTCGGCAGACAAGCCATGAGTACCAAGTCCATCAAAATCCACCTATAGCAGTGTTGGAATTTGTGATGTATTTCAACGGATTTGGTCCTGAAGCATTATGGGAAGCAGAGTCAGTGATGGATTTTGGCGGACTTGGTACCGTTCTTCGTAAAACTCCAAAGGGAGTTAGGGTTTTTCTCTGTGATGGGAAAAATGGAAATTTTCTGAGCAGAGGGCACACTTAAATCGACACAGACGTGCCTTAATTGGTTTTGTACTTACTTTATACTCCTCCAAATCGTCAAGTTCCTTCCTTGTCTTAGCCAGCTCTGCCTCCTTTTCCATCAATGAATCCCTTAAAACTGGTCGGACAAAAGAAACACAAAACCGTTGTGAACATATTGATGGTGAAAAAGATTGTGTGGAAAATGAATATAGAACACAGAATGAAATAATAGTTCTAGACAGGAGATTTGGATGCCACTACTGAGGTGGAAACACCCTCGCACGGAAGTCAGACTCTTCCTTGCCTTGCCTGCTTAGCCTAGCTTTGTTTAAAGGTAGGGTAGCTCATTTGTGCAATTTGTTCGTTTGAAGCAACAAAAGTGCTCCAAATCTTAAAAATTTTCTTAACAACTACCAGTAACATGATGAACTTTTAGCTCAGTGAATGCTGTATATTCCGCAAAAAACAATATTCTAGGATCTCAATTTCAATTCAAAAGTTACCGAGTCTTGTTTTGAATTGCGCCCGAAATCAGCATCCGCGACACGTTCTCATTCAGCCAATTGCAACTACGCGGTGTCACGCACTAAACTGACGAATAATAGTGACCTCGCAAACAATTGCGCGCACCCATTCACAGATTTGCTGAATTACAAACCAACTAGTACTCGTGGTAATTTCCCAAAATGCGCCACTTGACGCATCGTTGGAGATGGCCTTCCTTCATTGTTTTCTTCAAAATGACAGCTTACCAGAAAGAAAAATTTCATACGGATATTGCCATCCCCATCTTTAAATCAATTAAGCTTTGCAAAAATAATTCCGTCAGTTACTATTTGGATAGCTGCAAACGATCTACTCTACTTTTAAATTCAGTGACTCAGTCACTGCAGTGTCTTCAGGTCCAGCCAAAAAAAAAGGCATTTCAAGAGAGAAAAATAAGTCTAACAATCGATGAAGCACTCACCTTGCTTCTTTTCTTCATATTCCTCCAGCATCTGTTCCTTCTGCTCATTGATCATTCGGATTTCTTGTTGGTTCTGATCGCTCAGGGTCACGATGGTGGTTTGGCGTTTGTGGGCCTTCTTGGACATGTAAGACATGTACTCATGCTGGCAAAAATAACAACAACAACCATGATTACTGTGTATTTATAGATTCAATATCCCTCCTTTTGTTTGACCAGTCACAGACAGTCAAAAATTCAATCCTGTTCCCCTGCCATGCCTTTTACACAGGCTGGTCACCAACAGTCAGGCCATATTTCACGTAGACACTGTGACAGTCAAATTTCATCAACAGACAAAAGCAGGTCAATGGTAGTCACAGCTGGCTTATCAATCGCCTACAGTTAAAGCTTAGCTACATCGGCTTTCATAACAATCACAGCCAGTCAATCCTGCTTAATGTAAACGGGAAGCATTCAACTGTTAAAAACAGTCACTAGATTTATTTTGATTGCTGGGCTGGCCTTGTTGAAATTGCCAGCCAGACTGGGAGGGATACTCTTTGCATTTGGATAAAGCCAAGTGTTTTACAAAATAAGGCCTGAAGAAGGGAATTTTTTTTGTGTTCAATTCAGAATGTAGGTGATTTGCAAATCTGACTAAGTTTGCTGCCAAAGATTTATTAATATTTAGCAATAAAAGAGGACGCCATGGCTGTGCTGTACCTGTTTTATTCACCAAGTATTAAAAATGGGCGTGCTCAATTTTAAACATGAGGGTCCACTTCGAGCACACACTTTTGAAACTTTGATGCTTAGGAGAACACTGGAGTGGCAGTGTAATGGGTTGGAGTTCACATCCAAAACTACTCTTATTTTTTGCTTATCCAATATGGATTTGCATAAACACTTAATTGAAGAAGTCTCCAACTTACGCTTTCCACCCTTGTTTGGTGTGCTTCTTGCTGTAGCCATTCATTCTCTTTACGACTGATGATAAATTTCTCGTTAAGAATATCAGACAATATCCGACCTTCTAAATTATTGAATATATGCAGCAAAAAAAAATTAGTAAATTGCAAAATCATATATGCATAGGAAATTCATCAAGGTAAAACACCACAAAATATGTAACATAGTATTACTTTTAAATTCCATCGAGTCAAAAACATCTGAGCCTGAATCTGCAACTTTTGCAAGAGCTGGTGCAATGGGCTTAAATTAATCGGCAAATATTTCTCCTTTTTTTTGACTAGTAAAAATTTGTTGGACAGAATTATAAAATAAGTGACAGTGCATCACATTAGAAAGATCATTCGATCAATCAGAAAGGATACAGCTCCTCCACTTTTTTCTTGATGCTTGCCAGTTGTTCAGTCAGAGAATCTAACCTGTTTGAAAAGAAAACAAACTATTTAGTCATAGAAAAACGGAGTGACATATGACTGATAAGTGTGTAGGCATAGGACATAGGACCTATCTCCTCTTCGAAATTGGGTAATAAACTAATCTGTGCAATTCTGTTTATTGATTTGTAATCTTTGCAGAATGAAATATAACTTGTAAAGCTATTTAAAAAGAACAAGTCTTATATATTTAGGTTTAAATAGAGACAGACTGGATGTACTTTTTTACAATGTTTTATTGATGTGGAATTTTCCTCGTCACGGCAAAATAGTGTTTAAATAGCTGATGAGGAGGTATTTTGCCGGTCACTGCAAAATATGCACTGCCAAATGAAATACAATGTAGGCCCAGGCTTAACATGCTTAAACACAAAATCATGACTTTATTTTTGCTTCCACGTCCACAAACACTGACAAATTTCACATACACCCCCCCCCCCCCGGCCCCCCGGCCAAGATTGAAGATCATGTACTCACTCTGTTTTCAATAAATTCTCCTTTTCTGATGGTTCAGGAGCTTCATAATTTTCCTCACCATCCGCCTTCTTTCCTTTTTTACCCTTTTTGCCCTTGCCTTTCTTTGGAGGCATATTGTTTAGTTATGAAAAAGTGACTGACAGTGTGCCGCAAATCAGCAAAGAAACCCACATTAATGTGTGGTTGTATACAAAGTCTGGCACCCGCAGAATGGAAGGATTTGTTGTGCATTATACGACTACCGGTGGGTACCAGTCTGAGCGTCGCTCGTTGTCAAGTAAATTTTTTTTATGAATAAGTGTATTTCTGAATTTATTGTAAACTTTGTATAGTTGAAATAAAATTAAATAATATTTGAATATTGTACATAATTATTTATGTGAATTAAAATGTTTAATACTTATTTTTATTTGTAAACAATTTATATTCGTGCAATAGTTTCTGAACTAATTTTATATTCAAAATGGCTGCGCCCATGACGTCCGAAAACATGTCTAATCCAAACAGTGATGAAGAATCCGACGAAACAGACCTCTTATCGCCGAATTTCAACCCCCTTAAAGCATTGTACTCGTCTAGAGTGCAATTGCCTTTCCCCAAAGCAACAATTTTCAACAATTTGCGGGAGTATGAACGGATTACAGCCGCGGGAAATCGGAGCGACGGCGGCGGCAGTCATGGGCATGGCAGTGGCAGAGGCCGGGGAATTGAAGCCGGCGGAGGTGGGAGTGGTGGTTTATCTTCTTCACGAAGAAAGGTAGGCAGAAAGAACAAAATGTTTCAGGGAAAGAATGAAGTATCCATAGGCCACTTCTTTGATTGTTTACAAAGGCTATGGAGAGTCGAGTGTATTTTCAAAGTTTTCTAACAAAATTGGAAATTTTTCTCAGTCCAAGATTCATGTGTTTTGAAAGTTTTTGCAATGATGGACGATGTACCCCGGACGATCATTGATTGAGATAATATTATATGATGAAAATTATGCCCCCCTCAAATTTTTTTTTTTTTTTTAAATTAGGAAGCAACCTTCTTTCCCTTTCTGTTCTGACAACTAACTTACATGACTTACCATGCTTATAATGTTAAAGGGAATATACATCATTTGCTTTTGCTGTAATTTTCAGAAATGGATGGAATTGGGGGGTTGGAAATATAAAGCAAATATAGTTACACTAACTTTTTGGAGGTTTTGGGTTCGAAAATGCTATAAAAACCAAGAAAAACGATCATTTTCCTATATTCTGGTTCCCTGACTCCATATAAGAAGAAACAGAGCAGTTTACATACTTTGGGGGAATTGTAAGGTCAGGGAACCAGTCTAGCTGGCTCGTACCCGTTTATAGGTTTGTAATCGATTGCAAACAAGTGCAATGGTCAATTGGGGCTAGTATTTGAAAAAAAGCCAGTTGTTTCCAACGCTGATCGGCCGATCAGCGTTGGAAATTGATACAAAAATACCACTTTTCTTGAAAATGACAGTATACCAGGTGCCATAATTTTACAGGATGCTTTAAACTGTCATTTACCAACATCCTGTTAAGGTATTTCGCAAAAACTTGGTAGATTTATTTTTCGATGTTTACAAATGTTGTATATTCCCTTTAATTATAACACCATTATTGACATGATCGATGCATCGTCTTAACATTCCTTAAAACCTTCCCTTTTTGATTCTCAAAGCAGAAAGTTGAAGTCCCTCTTGGGAGAGGTTTCCGAGCAACGGAGGAAATGCTTATCGACACCGCCAAGAAGAAACAAACCATGCTCAGAAATGTTCTCACCAGAATGTCAGGTGAGTCGTGTTGTTCTAAAATGTAAACAAACATTAAATCGGTAAAATACAACTTGTAAAACATTAGAGGTGTCCTAAACTACACGATTACCATTAAATCAATAAGAATCACAGGAGACAATCAAAATCAGAACATAAAAGTAAACTCCTCGTGTTCTTAAATCTTTATTCTTAAAAGTTTTATTTGCTTACATACAAGGTCAAGATTCTCATTTGAAAACAATTGAATTTGTGGGTTTTTTTTTTTAATATTTCCAAAGTTTTCACAGAACAATTTTGAAATTGGTAATTAAACAAGTCTTCTCTTCCAAGTTTGAAGTAATTCCTAAAGGTCAATCATTGTACAAGTGAAGTTAGACTAGTGTTATTGTTGTCATATTCTATATATCTTTTAATTAATGGAACCTCTTGTTGCTTCTCTTGTCAACAGAATTCTCCTCAGGGCCCTTGTCTGTGCTGTATCGCTGCATGAATGAACGCTGCAAAGTCCGTGTCTGCACCAGGTCCTTCAAGGGACTGCGGAGTATCTGCACAGGTTACTTGGTCACCTTTGACAAGTTCTTCAACATGGTAAATAATCATTGAGAAAAGAATCCATCAGCTGCCTTAAACTTTGCTCAGGGCAAATTTGCTTATCACTGGAAGTTTCAAGAGTTCTTGGTATCATTATGGACCCACAGCTGTCGACTCTGTAATTTTACTTCTTTTTTTTCCAGGCTCTGGTAGATGTGGATGAAGTGTGGAGGAAACCTTCTACTGGTCAACGATTTTACCATGAAGAGAAAATGACCTTTTCTAAGGTAGGGTTGTCAGTAGCTTGAGTAACTTCAGCTCCAATGCTCATCAGGAACTCAACATATAGAGCTGGAGCTAAAACTATGTTGTAGAAACTAGATTCTAAGAGGCTCTAAAAAAAACCGGGATTCTCTGTAGCTGTATCACCAAAATTATCCTTTACCCTGTATTACCCCAACCCAGATTCCATGGTATGAGTATGAGGTACGTTTAATAGAATCTGGGTTGGGATGATAGAGGGTAAAAGGACCATTTTTGTGATACAGTTACAGAGAGTCCCAGTTTTTAGGGCCTGTTAGAAATTTAGTATCTGCAACATAGTTTTAGCTCCAGCTCTATTGTCAAATTTCTGATGAGCATTGGAACTGGATTTATTCAAGCTAGGTTATCAGCATCTTGCTTGTGTGTGACATAAGGTTTATGAAACTAGTAAATTTGACTTCCATTCCTATTTAAAGCTCATTACATAAGTAAGTGGACTGATGTAGAAATGATTTGACTTGTTAATAAATAAGATTCATTCCAACAATGAGATTGTCAAATTTGTACAATCGTTGACTAAGATTAGGTATATGCAATTGACTTGAAAAAATTAATCTAAGGACTATTTTTGTTGTTGCAGATATTGAAATGTTCCAGGACACCTGTGTCAGAGGATTCAATGCAAAGGGTTGAATCAAGGACAGAGCAAGCAGAGGAGGGGGACCAGTCGAGAAAAGAAGGTAACACTTCTGAGAAGGGACCCCGGTTGTCTGAAAAGCATCACAGAGATGGAACCACAAAAGAGTCACCTGTGATACCCAAACTTAAAGACAGAGGACATGTTGGAACAAAATCATCTTCAATATCTCAGGGTGGAGATGGACGACGCTCGGAGAAGGATTCCAGGAGGCACAGACACAAAGACGAGGAGGAAGTATCAAAAAGTAGAAAAGGGGAGAAATCGTCGCACAAAGATCCAGTGGTGTCTGAGGAGAAAGACAGCAAGAAGTCCCAGGAATCGGACCTCAGTGAAGGCGACGGGGACGAAGAAATTGAAGATCTCCGACAGCGCCTCGCCGCCCTGCAAAAAGAACTGACCTCGCTCTCGGATGACAAAGGTGAAAGTGAAAGGAGGTCACCAAAGACGGATGTGACGACGGGAGACAGAGGAGTCACAGACAAACGGCTTGCTGAATTATACAAGGACTTAAATTCCTCTTCCGATGACGAGGGGAGAGTTCAGGCGAAAGAGATGGATGAAACGGTTGAAGAGACAAGAACCAAAAGCAGAGAAACTCATTCTGGAGATGGTGAAAGGACTGTTCCGTCAACAGCCAGCCAATGCCACCAACAAGGCAGCACAGTAATGATTGAAGGGTCAGCAGAGGTCGGAGTTCAGAAATCGGGTCAAGGCATCAAAGGAGATAGTTCAAAAGGAAGGGGCGATGGTCACCAAAAAGACGCGGCCCATGAGACCACAGAACAATCGATTAAAGCCCTGAGCAGTAGTACAAAGGTCAAACAGACTGAAAGCAAAGACAGTACTAGTGCAAGTATAAAGCGCGGCCGACTGAAGATAAAGGCCGAAGAGTTTCAAAGACGACATGTTAATCAGTTGTTCATCAGGGGCGATAATGTTGTGCTTGTTTCTGTTGATAGTATCTTGCTTCCAAAGTAGGAAGATAAATTACAATAAAACATGTTTATTTTTTTTATATTCATTCCAAATGAAATATTTGTGTTCTTTCTTTAACAGTACTGTTTATATTACAGGCATGATTTAGGGTTTCAAGGAACAAAAATTACAAATCTGTAACTGATAAGTAAAATCGAATAAAAACAACAGAAGTGTTGTCAGCACAGATGTTATCTGTCGATTGGTCTTTATTTGAGTACCATGATTAATTTTTCAATGATTGTTGTCTTCTGGATGACACCATTTTAGGCAGAATAATTTTAATGGTACATTGATAGGGACCAGTCCTTTCTTCAAGAGTTTCAGCAAGGATTTTTTTCGTAAAATTGGTAGGCACGTTCTGGGTAAATGTTCTTCAAGCTGTAAACCAGAGATTCGATATTCTGCGGAGAGCATGCCGCAGCGCAACCTTACCAAAACTTTTAATTTACGCGCGCGCGTGCATGATCCGGATATGGGTTACCGCCCTCTATCGGCATTATGGTGTCAGTGAGTGTCACTGTTATTATTTTGCAACGTTCCTACAAAAATAAATACAGCCGGTTTTACGGATTAGTTGCGGGAAAGGTGAATCCATCATTGACAGCTCTCCTAAATTTGACAGGTAACATATTTTGGTGGTTTGATTTCATTGAAATTAGGCGTATAATTTTACCTAAATTTACATGCAGCTGGCATGCAACTGAGTCATGTGAGTGTCGGTCACATCATGGAGAGACATGTAAGGTCACATTTCCAGCACACTGCAGATGGAGAAATGTGCAACGTGCATGACGTGCAGGGATAGCCTATATGGGACGTGTCCTGCTGCATGTCCTGTGTAAAATTATCTGTATCTGTATGCTACTGCACAATCACCTATGGTGGGGCTATCACGTGCAGGTAAGGCGCTTGTGAAGTTACGGGGCCCTTTTTGGTCTTAGAACTTAGAAGTTGCAGTGTATTTATCATTCTTAAATGACTTCTGCAACCTAATTATCGAGTGATCTGCCTTTAACGATATTTAGCAATGCATCTTGGATGGACAAACCATGGAGCTAGCTAGTCCGAAAATTTGGGACTCTCAATACTGTGTATGAGAGTCCCAAAACTTAAGGTATCCATATCATGCAAAAGTTTGTGCTGCATAATAAAACCAGTGTGAATCAAATTTGCAAGCTTCTTACTCACTACAGTTTCCTCAATAATCCCCGAAACTTCTGCCTCGCAAAGTTGCTGTTGTGAGCATTGCATCACCAAAAATTCAGCTTTTAATTCTAATTTTGCAGAGAGTTATCGAAATCCAAACGTGAGACATCACGTTGATGTGTACTGCAATGCATTGTGCATAAAAACTCCCTAGCTAGAACATTTTCATCTTGTAGATAAAGCAGCGCCCTCTTGTTGATCTGAGTGAATGTAGAATGTTTCATTTTTTAACAGAGGGCGCTGTGTTCATTTGGCTATCAATTAAAAAACAAGTAAGCTGCAGGGCACTTCCTACACCTACCCAGAATACATTGGGAATCACACACCCATTTCCAGAGCATGGAGATTGACGTGGATGGTTTTTGAACTGCCAAAAACTTGCCTTAAAATTGGATTTAAGGTCTCAAATTTCGCAGATGACATGCTTGCAACTTTATCATTTTGATGTATGTGTTGTGTGGGCATTAATTAGCCTAATGGTGTGTAAAAAAATGTCAGTAGTAATTTTGCACGTTTTTATGCACTCACGGTCCCAGTCTGGGAGCTAGCCTATAGCTAGCTCCATGGACAAACCAACCAGACAATGCATATGATGATATGTGCACAAAACCCAATCATTGCCAGTGGGAGACTTTTGAGATGTGGCGTTGGTGGCAGCAAACACACCGGTCTTTTTCCATTGTTTACATCATGTTTAAGCTTAAGCGCGCATGCTCAATATGACGGAAAAAAGGACGGTACGTGTGTTTGCTGCAACCAGTGTTTCATAGCTTACGCCTATTCTTTTTACAGGCCCCTCTTTAGTTTTGTTCAAATTAGAGTCAAACTTGTGGTTTTTTTTGTATCGGCCCAAAATAACTTCTGGAACCTAAAACAGACTTTTGTTAATTCTGATGACATTGTTTTTTGGTATATTTGAACAATATCTTTCAGTAGACACTACAGTGTGCTTGTAACGCATTTTACAGTTGATGCCATGTTCATCAATGCGGTTTTGCGCATTCAACGCAGTAACATTTATTTACAAATAATAATTCCATGTGCCTTCATCATGATGTCAATTGATGATCAGATTGATATAAATAAGTGAGAGGTTTGCGGTAACACCATGTGGAAATATCTCTTTTGTGAGTATGTGTGGTTATTGGGTTAACTCGACATTTAAGGAGAATGCCCAATGCCAGATTGAGATAAACACTGCACAAAAAAAATAACTTCAAAGCCTGGGTTCAGCGCCCCCGACATTTTTGCATAAACTGCCTGGATTGTTCATGTACCCAAGATACATTGTGAATATCAAAAAGGTTTACTTGCACACGATGGGTGCCTGGCTTCTCCTTTTTTAACATCTGGTTTCTGGGCAAGAAAATAAAAACCCAGTTTCCCGTCCCCACCCGCTTCTTTTTTTTCCCAAGCTGCCTCCTTTTAAAAAAATCATAAATTTGCAATACATTTTGCACATGTATTGTCAATAAAGGCCCAATAGCATTTGTCTTGTATAAATTTGTTTCCAACAAAATTGTAGCTATGTAGAAAAGGGTTATATTTGAAAACTAGTTTGTATTGATTAGCGAAATAGCCGAGAAAATTGAAGAATCCATCCGCCATTTTGGAAAATCTGCCATTGTGGAAAAAAAAAGAAGGAAAAAAGCTACATGTATGTAAGCTTGAACCCCACCTTGAAAAGTTACAGAACAACCTCTATTTTTGCGTAATAATATAATTGTCATGCCTGGTGAACTCGAGCGGATGACATTGTAAAACTGAGTACATACATGTATAAGTTTTGTATTCACGCTGTATGCCTGTGTACAATCATTTGTGTGTACAAACTGTTGCATACGAGTACCTTCAAGTACTATTGAAATACAGTACATCCTCAGTTCTGTTTGGCTTTGATTCTTTGAAGTGAACAAAGACTTACCTGTTTCCCAACAAAGTATTAGTTGAAAAGTGCCTTTTCCAGGCCCATTTCAAAGTTTTTCTCTCATTTGTTAAACTTGGTGTGGATTTTTATGCCCCGCGGTGAAGCCGAAGGGGCATACTGTTTCCGCCTTGTTTAAAAATGTTATTATGCAGCTTTATGGAGGCTGGAATTACGTATGTCACCTGCCGCGAAATGTTAGCCACGTACAATGTAAACAATTGTTATTTTTCCCCTTCTTATCTTGAAAATGGTCAGACATTAGATTAGTTTCCTTTCAACCAGACCTTTGAAAATAGGATAAGTAAACAATCCAAAACATAAAATCTTTGGGAATTTCATGCTGTTATGCCCCTTTAAAGGGAATGTACAACATTTGCTTTTGCTGCAGTTTTCAGAAATAAATCAATTTGGGGGATCAGTATGTTATAGCAAATATTGTTAAAATGACTTGTTTTCACCTTTTGGGCTTGTAGATGCTAGAAAAACCAAGAAAACCAATCATGTTTTTGTAGTCTGGTTCCCTGAGCCCACTTAAGATGAATCCGCGGAGCAATTTATAGACTTTGGGGAATTGTAAGGTCAGAGAATCAGTCTAGAAGGCTTGTACCCCTTCACAGGTGTGTAATCAATTGCAAAGAAAATGTGGAATAACTAATTAGAAAAAAATAGGAGCAGTTTTTGAAAAAAGTCAGTTTTCTCCAATGGCTGACCAGCGTTGGAAAAATACCATTTTTCTTGAAAATGTCAGCACACCAGGAGCCAACATTTTACAGGATGCTTTAGACTGTCATTCCCTAACAATTTAGTAAGGTATTTCGTGATAATTTGATCATTTCGTTTTGGGATGTTTGCAAATGTTGCATCTTCCCTTTAAAGGGAATATACATCATTTGCTTTTGCTGTATTTTTCAGAAATGGATGGAATTGGGGGGTTGGAAATATATAGCAAATATAGTTACACTGACTTTTTTGAGGTTTTGGGTTCGAAAATGCTAAATAAAAACCAAGAAAAACGATCATTTTCCTGTAGTTTGGTTCCCTGACTCCATATAAGAAGAAACAGAGCAGTTTACATACATTGGGGAATTGTAAGGTCAGGGAACCAGTCTAGCTGGCTCGTACCCGTTCATAGGTTTGTAATCGATTGTAAACAAGTGCGATGGTCAATTGGGGCCAGTATTTGAAAAAAAGCCAGTTGTTTCCAACGCTGATCGGCCGATCAGCGTTGGAAATTGATACAAAAATACCACTTTTCTTGAAAATGACAGTATAGGCCCTACCAGGTGCCATGATTTTACAGGATGCTTTACACTGTCATTCACTAACAGTCCAGCAAGGTATTTCAAAATGATTTGGTAGTTCATTGATTTTTGATGTTTGCAAATGTTGTATTTTCCCTTTAAGCAGAAAGGCTGACTGCTCTAACCGATCCCCGCCCACTGCATACATGTACATGTATGGGCAACATCATGTCTCCAATGCCGCACCGCATGTTAGAGTAATGGCAACATTACTTTTATTACAATCGGGTAAACATTGCCAACGTGACCAGCTGGCATACATACATTGCACAAGATATAAAGCTGTGACTATTATGAGTCTCTGTCTCTGTGGGTATTTAATCAACCATCAATAATGATTATGATTATGAACAAAATACACATTGACCTTGGATGGTGTGACGATACGCAGTGTGTACACATAGCCTAGATGATTCACACGCACATGTTGTATTAAGGTGAAAGGTGACATCTTTCTGCAGGTTTGATTTTTATGCTGCACGTCTGGACGTATTCTAATGTGTTAATATACTCACGGCATTTTTATGATAAGCATGTGTAGGCACATGGCTATTTTTGTGCAATCCAGCACAGTTTTTACGTTGCACATTAGTGCTTGTAAGTTGTATTGCACAAGATTTACATTGGATTCTCCCGTGAAAATTAATTTTTTTTGGGGGGGGGGGTATACAGAAAACATACATTTAGTGAGCATATGAAGAAAATGAGCTGTAGTCATAAATTGTTTGATTTATCCTACATGAATGTTCATTTCATTTTATTGCTAGTTTCATTTATTGTTTTTTGAATTTTGTTTTGTGTTGCTTTTTAGTGCCAGATGGAGATTATCCCCATTTATATTTTACTGCATGGCTTTACTCAGTGTTTGCAAAATCTGCTGAGGCACAAACAAATTGCCTTGAAAGGAAAAATAATGCATTCTGTTTGCTGATTTTTGTGTGTGCTGATGGGGAGTTCAGAATAGGCCATAATGTGTCCAAAAGTTGCTCAGAAAACCCGTTACCTAAACCGAATACACCAAATATTTAAATATTTGATCATCAAGGGAATATTGGCATAGCTTTTAACCGTTTTAAATATCGAAACAAACACTACATACATAAGTTGACTGTGATGGGCAATTCCACGGTTACTCACGTTACATTTTTGATGTACTTTTGAGTTTCCTTGGGCTGTAATTACCTTACTGAAAAGGTTCAATAACTGTTATCCCCATGGTACCGGTAGATAGAGTAGACCTAGACCTACCTAAGCACCAAAGATGACATCCAGAAAAATGTGTCATGTATGATAAACAGGACACACAAAATCGGTTACTCGCACTACATTTTCGTAACGTGAGTAACCGATTTTGTGTGTCCTGTTTATCATACATGACACATTTTTCTGGATGTCATCTTTGGTGCTTAGGTAGGTCTAGGTCTACACTATCTACCATGGGGATAACAGTTATTAAACCTTTTCAGTAAGGTACTTACAGCCCAAGGAAACTCAAAAATACATCAAAAATGTAACGTGAGTAACCGTGGAATTGCCCTGATGTTATTTTATTATAAAGTTGCTTTTGCACTCTTTATTGTCAGGTGCAGCTTTTTGGTCGACGGTAACTTTTGAAGTCGTTAATGGTTCATCGTTCACATCCTTTTAAAGGAGATTAAAGCCCTTTATAGTTACAAACTATGAACTGCAAAACAATCATGCACCCCATATTGATTGCTGCATGCAGAATTTAACCATGTTAACTGGCGCTCTTTTCATGCAATTTTTTTTCCCCACGCAGTTGTTGCTGGCAGTTTTAAATATCCAAATATTTGATCAAACACAGTTCTGAGTAATCGAATACTAAATTAATCGATAATGGACAGCACCATAATCCATCTGGCTAAAGCTGGCTAAAAAAAACATGAAGTTCCTGTTTGTACGCCCAAAACTGACCCAGCCCTGTGTGATTTTATAGATTTGTCAGGGAGTAAATACAATGTAATGCAGTGTAATACACTTGTAATACAATTGTAATACAGTGTAATACAATTGTAATACAGTGTAATAACACGTGTAATACAGTGTAATACACTTGTAATACAATTGTAATACAGTGTAATACAATTGTAATACAGTGTAATACAGTTGTAATGCAGTGTAATACAGTGTGATGTAGTTGTAATACAGTGTAATACAATTGTAATACAGTTTAATACAATTGTCAAACAGTGTAATACAATTGTAATACGGTGTAATACAATTGTAATACAGTGTAATACAGTTGTAAAACAGTGTAATACAAGTGTAATACACGTGTAATACAGTGTAATACAATTGTAAAACAGTGTAATACAATTGTAATACAATTGTAATACAGTTAATACAATTGTAATAATGCAACATGCATCATTGTTGAGTGTCTTGTTTGTTATATTTTTCAGACTGATGTTATTGACCCCGAATTGATGACAACCGTGGTCAACCATGCCGGCCCTGGTGTTGTTCAATCGACGTTGGCGAATCGGAAGCGATGACTTTGTTTTCCCCGGCATCTGGTCCTTTGTTTTTCGAATCATATGGTAAGAAAGTTTCATTCAATAGGGACAAAGGGAAAACAATGCCCTGCCCTCAGTCATAATCGTCAAATACGACTGGGCATACGTGACAGCTTCTTTTACTTCCCAGATGTGTCGGAACATCGACCAATGAAAGAAGTACATGTACATTTTGCTCATGAATATCAGGTGTAATAAGGCCCCCCCCCCCAAAAAAAACCTCTGCTTCCCGTTTCCCTACCTACCCTATCCGCTCCGTTCACAAGTACCCCCTCACCGGCAAAGAAAGTACAGTTGGGGGTTAACGACCGATGCCATCTTGCCTGACTGCAATTCATTTGCCGCGAATTCGAAGCGCAGCCACTGCGTGTACATAGTACAAATCCCCTGGTGTACGTGCGTCACACACAAGGAACGGTGCGCGTCAACTAGCGAAATGTCCCGCCTATGGGATGTCGTTGCTAGGTAAAAGGCCGCCCTCTTTCATCGGCGCACGGAGCCCATTCTGAAAGCCCCTACCCTAATTTTTTTATGGAAAAATGAGGGGAAAAAACCCGCAGACGCCTCCAAAAAAAATATCCCTACCTACATGTACCTACCCTATTTTCAAATGCCATGTTATCGAAAGCAGAACCTTTTTTTTTTTTGCCTAAGTGAATAACCCTGGAAGGTTTTTCAAACTAATTTTCATGTCTCAACCCACAGGCTAACCACTGTCTTTGTGGTCTACTCATCCCGCGTGTCCTTCCTGGATTGTCTGGGGAAGGATCTCCTACAGACCTACCTGATCGGTCTGATCACCATCCTGATCATCACCATAGTACTGGAGTTCATCATAGTGTACCTGAGTGCTCAGGGGTCCATATTTAATACCACACCCAGGCGACATCTCCCTTTGGTAAGAGATATATCTGGCTATTGCTGGTCCCCGAGGCCCAGCAAAACATCCTGTTAGTACCTATTTTACTGACTCACCGACCGACTAAGTGACTGTCACCTGTGAATTATGCTAGGTTCACACATTCCCGAATTAGTTATGAATACAACAAGAGTAAACTAGGAATTGAAATTGGTTTCCGAATCACCCCTGACAGTTTTGAACATATTCAAATTTGTCGGGGTGCTTCCCGATCTTTAGCGATCTTTCACCGAATAAACATAATCATCCCGAGGCTGCCAAGAACTATCCCCGATTTACTCAAGAATTGCTATTCACGGCGATTCAGCTTAAAAATTGGGGATGTGTGAACCTAGCATTAGACTTGTTGTATATGTAGGTTAATGAAATAGAACCGGGCAGTGCAGTCATATAGGATTACCCTGTAGCCAATGAATGGGCTCAGTCTGGCCAATTGTGAAGACCAGATGCATGAACAGCCATACTGAATCACATGAACAGAATTGTGTGCGCTCTTGACTTCGACTGGTCCTGGATCAGCTTCACTAGGCTTAGAGCCATTAGGCCCCCCCAAAAAAATAGTCGGTCTCTGGTCAGACCGAAGTTCCGGAATTGATGCGGCGACGCGTTTTGTTTTTGTTTTTGGGGTGGCTTTTTTTTTTTTCAAGCTTGAATTGTACAGACATTTGCTTTTGCCGTAATTTTCAGAAATGGATGGAATTGGGGGGTTGGAAATACATGTATATAGCAAATATAGTTACACTGACTTTTTTGAGGTTTTGGGGTTTTTGAAAATGCTATAAAAACCAAGAAAACAATCATTTTCCTGTAGTCTGGTTCCCTGACTCCATATAAGAAGAAACAGAGCAGTTTACATACATTGGGGAATTGTAAGGTCAGGGAACCAGTCTAGCTGGCTTGTACCCGTTCATAGGTGTGTAATCGATTGCAAACAAGTGCGATGGTCAATTGGGGCCAGTATTTGAAAAAAAGCCAGTTTTTTCCAACGCTGATCGGCCGATCAGCGTTGGAAATTGATACAAAAATAGCACTTTTCTTGAAAATGACAGTATACCAGGTGCCATGATTTTACAGGATGCTTTACACTGTCATTCACTAACAGTCCAGCAAGGTATTTCAAAATGATATGGTAGTTTTATTTTTTGATGTTGTATTTTTTGATGGTGTATTTTCCCTTTAATGTTCCTTCTCTGCCTTCTTCAGTTCTTGTACATACGAGTCTTTGTCTTCCTGGTGGAGATCGTCTTCAGCATCGTGGGCGCGGTCTGGGCCTTCAGGGAGTGGGAGTTTGATAAAACAGGCAGCTGTGACCGCGGCGTGGTCCACTTAATCCAGGCCGCCGTCATCATCAGCTGGATCATCTTTGTTGCTGTCGTGGTTGCTGTGGTGATCCTTCTGAATCCCTGGCACGACGCCGACGAGACGGAAGAGACAGACCACGAAGGAGAGCACACCATCGATCCTGCCGTCCAACTGAAATGGGAACAGAGGTAAGTTGGCTCGGTTATGGCGTGGTTTCTGACTCATTAGCATTTAGCAACCTTGAACCCTAAACCCCCCCCGGCCCTTTTTGCTAGGAACCATCCTCAATCCTCCAAAATTCTCCAAAATTCTCCAAAATTTGGCACTTGTGGTTCAAATGAAGGATACCTACTGCCTCAATCCTTCAAAATCCTCCAACAGCCCTGCCTCTGAAAATGCAGTCAGCCTCAATCCACCATAATACTCCTCTTCTTCAAATAACTATTAAGCCTCAGTCCTCCAAAATCAACCAATACTGAATAGCCATGTGCCCTCAATCCTCCGAAATCCTCCAAACCACCCTGAGGACTTTGGAGGATTGAGGAAGGTTAGAGTTATGTCCAAAACAAGAGGGGAGGTTCAGTGGTTCGAATCAGACAGTCAGGGTTCAAATCCAGCTGCTTACATATGTTTTATTCTTGGGCAAGATAATTCACCCCCACTTGCCTCTCTCCACCGAGGAATATAATCATCAGCATAAGCTGAGGGAGTAGCCTGCAATGGACTGGCACCCGATCCAGGGAGGGGTGTAGAAATATCTTGAAGGATGTAGGATGGTGTTGAAGGTTTAACGAGAGTTTGGTTTTTGCTTTCTTGTCAGATGTAAGATGCTTTGTTGCTGTGCAGGGAAGGACGCTAACTCCCAGGTGGCCTATGCAGAGGTGGCGGCCATCCTCTCCAAATTCTTCCATGTGAGTCTTGGATTGCTTATCAAATTCAGGAGGCAACTCATTTAATATTCGGGATAAAAGGCTCACCGCTTCAGGTATTAATGGCAGGATTCTGAAAATACATCTTTGTGTCCCATTTAACCTCGTTTTCAATTTTCTTTTTTTTTCATTTTGAAGGGTAGTTTGGTGTCTGTTTGGTTTTTATGCTAATGTGAATATTCATCTCCATGAACAAACTGTGATGTCATTCCACACATAAGCCTCAATGTTACAGCTATTCCAGCACAAAAAGTTGCTCCAATTTGGGATACTTTGCTGTCATAAATTTTCTCTTTTTTTGGGTGATTTGTTGTTGTTGAAGTAAACGGTAGTAAGCAAAAGAGCAACCCTTTCTCGCAAACGTTCACAGTGAGCAAATTTTGGGTTCACAATTTGATAGAGAACCCCTAAACTAAACAGTGTCTTCCTGAAATGACATCATAGCAACAACGCCCTCAGTTGTCCGGAAAAGCATGGACAATTTTCAAGGTTTAAAGAAGTGCACTTTTCAATGACATAAACCAAAAAGGATGTCAAATAGTTTTCATACATTTAAGAGGAGTAGAAAGTTGCACAAAATGTGTTCCTAAGAAAAAATCATCGCACGGACCCTTTAAGTCTGATGAACTTCATTGCAGAAAAATTCACAGGAAGTTATTCAGAATCTTGCAGAACCTGGACTGCAAATAATTCCAATTTTTGTAAAGTAACAATTCAGTAACTAAACATCAACCTCTGAAGAAGAACTTGTTAAGTTTGCAACGTCAGGCCACATTAATTTTTCAGATTTAAACATCAGCCCATCAGTTTTTGTTCGATTCGATGTCTCATTTAAATCGAGTATTTTGTCTTGCTAGAAATACTGATCACAATTTTTAACAAACAAATTTGTGAAACTCAAAAATAGCACGAACTGTACATCTTTATTTTGACTATGGTTCTGTTTCTGTCAGGGTCTGGACATCGTGCCTTCAGACATCGTGGCCGGCCTGATCCTCATGCAACTTGAGCAGGAGCGTCTGATGCGTGACGGGGAGCAGCCCAACCTGACGCGCCCCGCCGGCCCCTGCCTGTCGGCCCCCTCCAGACCCGCCATCGAGGAGGTCCCGCTGGCCCTGCACTACCTCCGCTTTGCCTCCAGCGCTTACGGCTGGAAGATGTTCCTGTTCAGTAACCTGTGCTGCGGGGTTTGCAAACTCTGCGGTCTCTGTCGGTGAGTCAAACGCACAGTGTTGTGGGCGAGATCATCGCAACTCTGGTCCACAAGTTAATCACAAGTGCGTTCACAAATACAGTCACATGTCCAGCCATAGGTCTGGTCACAAGTAAATCACAAGTCCATTCACAAGTGTGGGGATGCACAATAACAAAGGAATGCCTTTATGCACAGTCACATGCAGCTTCCCTTATTTTAGCACATGTCTATTGCCATGTATAGTTGAGAAGTAAAAGTAAAGTCTGTCACGAGCCAATGTGGCCCATCAGGCCGGCCTTTATCTCCGGTTTCAGTAGCATGAAACGACTGAGAATATTTCCATTCCCCCTGGACGGGATGCCAGTCCATCGCAGGTTACTCCCCAGCTAATGCCGGTACCCATTTATACTCCTGGGTGGAGAGGGGCAAGTGGGGGTGAAGTGGCTTGCCCAAGGACACAACATATGACCAGCAGCTGGATTCGAACCCTGGACCCTCTGATCGTGAGTCACGAACCCTAACCACTAGGCCACACACTCCCCCTTGAGAACAAGTATAGTTGAGAACAAGCTGATTTTGTGTTGTTCAGTTTTATTGATCTGAAAATACTTGTCAGTGTAAACTGACGTCGAAACTTGATTCTGCTTTGGGTCCCCTCCCCTGCCCTTAAAACTTCGAACTCTGATACAGCTGATATGTGTGGTGTTAAAGAATGGCATTACAGGATAGTGTTATTTTTATGAACAGAATATCATGCATGTTGTCAATGCAGACATCGAAAGCCACGGTTCATACAAAAAGCTTTGTCAGTAAGCGGGTTTGGTATTCCAACATAGACAGTATAGTGCACAGCAAGATTTGACGAATTTTTTTCGGGATAACTGCGGCAGATAAATGCACACAAGGCTATGAGGGACGCGGTAACCAAATCTGCATTCTGTGCAAATTTTCATGCAATCGAAAAGAAATGGAACTTTCTTCGCACACAAATTTTGACACACAAGACATCTAAAGACACTTCGCTGTCCAGATTTTTTTTTTTTAAATGTTATACTTCAGATCACGATCTCTTCAATTTTGCTGGTACCCCGCTATGGTTTTGCACGCATACGATGAAATTTTTATCGCGAAAGAACAATTGGCAAATGTGGATGTGCACATGTGCAGCTGGAATACTGAACTGGCTTATTGCCATTCATTATTATATTTTATGTGAAGCAAGGCAAGTGCTGTATGTGCATGTTTGCTCATTGACCCCTGCTTAATTCATTTTTGCTTGCACAATGCATAATGTCTTTTCACACTACCCACAAATATTCCTGTTGGATTCGGGTCCAAAACGGAGATTTGGAGAAATCTTTCACATCAGCAAGAATCAAAAATAGTTTCTACACGGGTCCTGGGGCCAATTTCATAGAGCTGCTTACGCACAAAATTTGCTTAAGCACAAAAAAGTCTTGCTGAATAAAATCAGGTTACCAGCCAAAACTCTACTCGATTATTATGTTAACTGGTTAAGTAAACAACAGCTATATACCAGTCACAAGCAATGCACCTTACATGGAGTTTTGGCCGGTAACCTAATTTTACTAAGAAATGCTTTTTCGTGCTTAAGCAAATTTAGTGCTTAAGCAGCTCTATGAAATTGGGCCCTGCACTCTAAACGGGTTAAAATCTGACCCTGGTCGGGACCAGGGTCAAGAGGCTTGACCTGGGTAGAAAATTGGGGTCTAGTGTAAAAAGACCTGTAGCTATTTAATACAATGTAGTAGCTGACAAATTATGTGTTTTGTGAAGTAGGCCTACTGTGCTTCTAACAGAAAACGTTTCGGATGGCATGCTTCCATTAGGAAAATAACAAGCAAAAATCACATTGCCGTTTTTTGAATGTTTTTTTTTGCTCTCATGTTTTTCACATTTTCCCATCACAAAGGAATGATCAAACACGGTGAGTAAAAAGTAAACGCATCTGTAATTTTTTTGTGGTGATGGTGCATTCATTTCATCCTTTACATGTAGTGGGTTAGCAGAGGTATTTCAAGTCCAGGAGCTGTAGACAAATTCGGCGACAGCTAGCTCGCTAAGATATTTCTGTTTGATGTTTCGTTTAAAAGTGAATAACTCAAGTATTGCTAGAAAAATAGCAATTTAAAAGCAGAATCCTTTTCTCAGAGTGAAACTGAAAAAATGGCACGGAGAGTGGACTTTTAAGGATTTCCCAAATTTGTACAAGACTTTAGGATCACACTTACTCAGATTTTTTTCCAAGACTGGGCCTTTTTCCTAGATTCGTGGAATTACTAACAAACTCAACATGCATCGGTTTATTTTGGTGGCATATTCTTTTCCTGAAAGCAACTCTTACATGTAGCATAGCCAACATGTGAACTGTGTGCTTGATAATGCTTGTAGTGCTTAGACATAGTGGGTAGATCGTTTGGAAGCAAGCATGGTGTGGTTTCATCTTGAATCCTTTTTTTGGCTAAGAGCCATCCTGAATAGAAACCAGCGACGTTTTCTTTTGTGTCGTAACTTTCAAGGGTCTTTAGTGTCTAGTCAACTTCCTCGTCCTCATTGCCACTGTCATTGCCTTAAGGCCGATTCATAATTAATGCGAATGATGTCAATGAATGAATGACGAATTACAGTTTAACATCTCAAGGCATTTGCTGCAAAATTCACCTGAGTTGAAATGTGTTCAAATTCGCAGCGTGACAACTTGCCCTGATGTCACAAATTCGTGTTCGCGTTTGATTTCACGCTGATTATGAACCGGCCTTACTACAAGAATCTGCAGCCGATTTCACCTAACCTGATGCAATGGCGTAACACCAGTTGCGCCGCAATTTCTTGCTCAAGTTGCGCAACATTCCACTCTGCGCAACATTTCAGTAATGATACATTTTACGAAAGTTTCAAAGTGCTCAACGTCCATGAGTTGTGTGAGCAGCAAATCATGTCGTAATTTACGTAATCATTTCAGATGGCACAAGTTATGGCATACTGACTTAAAACTGACTATTTTTACAGGCAAATTGTAATTGTCAAGTGGCCTGTCAAGGTTGATACAAGACGCTCACAACTTTGTGTTTTTAGTGAACGAATTGGTCCTCTACCCATGACAGACTTTGTAGAGTTGCTGCACGATTCCAAAGAAACTCGGACCAAAATATTTTCAAAATTGGGGGCGGAGGTGATTCAATGACTGTTTTGTGACTGAACACAGGGGTGTGAAATCTCAGCTTTAAAGCTGATTTCAGCTTTTTTTGTTTTGGATTTCAGCTTTTTTTCCCTCACTTGCTGTGTACAAAAGTATCGGAGATTTCCAAACTTCAGCTCTACACCTTGTTCAGCTGTTTTCAGCTATTTTTATCAGTGGTCACTCACACCCCTTTGAACAGTAATTATACATAAACAGCCGTCGTAAATGTTGTTATTATCCTCGTCCCAGATGTTTAAATTAGTTCAAATGTTGCACAGCTATGCCAAGTTCGTGAAAGTCCAAGTCCATACATTGATATTCTTGATCTCGCACACTTTTGATACTCTTGACCTTATTCCTACACATTCAGGTGCTGCAGTTGTCTGCGTTCAGATTACGGCACAGAGAAGGACAACTGTTGCGACTGTGACACGGCAGCCGTCAGACAGGTGACAGAACTGGACACGGAGGACATTGTATATATCAGCTTCCATAACAGAGTAAGGGGTCAGAAAAAGGTTAAAATGCCCAGGTCTCTGAATTTATGTATTTCCTTGTTTACAGAATTGACTTTTTGCAGCTATTCATTTCTACGATCATTGATTAGTTGATCATTGTATAATTTCTCAACTAAACGACGACTGTTTTTTTCCCCCAGATATATGAGATTCCCTTTTTCGTTGCCTTGGATCACCGGACTCAGTCTGTAGTCGTCACAATCAGAGGATCTTTATCGTTCAGGGTGAGCTCAAATTATCTTTGTTTTACAATCCCTGTTTTTAAAGCCCTTTGAACATTTTCCACATTTACATTGAAACTACATTCACCCAACTACTAATGCATGCATTTTGTAAAATATTAGCTCAATCACCTTTGTAAATGACCTCAAATTATAATCTCCCCTGATGGAAACAATTGACCTATCGCCGTTTGCAAGGTAGCCACGCCCCTTGGATAACCCTATTGAATTTTTGTACATTAAGTTTTGTTTGTCTCAGATGTTGCGCGTTCCGCGTCCATTTGTATATCATGTAATTGGACAATATTTCACAAGCTGCGTTGACGCGATTCTAACGCGATAGGTCAATTTCCATCCACCGTCTAGTGATGTTATTTGGTGAGGCCATGCCAGGGTTCCAGTGGTCTGAAAAAACACCTGGAATAATTATGGAATTTTGTTTTCAATTTCCAGGGAAAAGTCATGGAAAATTTGTAAAAATTACCAAAGTAGTGGAATTTTGTGAGGATCAATTTATTTTGAATTTTAAACTTTGTATAATTTAGCATTGGACATCTGATTTTTGTACCAGACAAAATGTGACAAACTTCGCGGATACAAGCATGTTGATTTCGAGAGACATGATTGCTTCGTCTTGTTATTTTTCTGTTTCTGATTAACACTTTTCAGGGAACAAGGCAAAGAATGTAGTATCCAGACGCCATTTCAGCATTTGTGTACAAAATCTGTGTAGTGTCAAGAACATTTTTTCAAGTATTTCCTGACAAAATTGGAAATGTTTCTCAGTCCCAGATTCGTGTCTTTTCAACATTTTTGCAATGACTGACCTTCATTAAGATGATACAAGTTTTACAGTTTGGATCTGCATTTTGATGAACTAGGTCGTGGAATTTCATAATTCTGTCATGGAAAGTCACAAATTTCATTGCCCTAAATGTGCAGGACTATGGATGTGGCCTCATTTACATGTAGCCTAGTAGTAATTGGTAGAACTTGGTGATAGCATCTTCGTCTGTTCACGAGCAGAGCCTTTGGAGAATTCATCGTATTTTCCCAATTGTCTGACTCCCGCAGGACGCTCTGACAGACGCCACGGCGGAGTCCATCAAACTAGACGTGGAGGGTCAAGAAATCTACGCACACAAGGGCATCGCTCGGACCGCCATGTACATCAGGGATAAACTAGAGAGAGAACACATACTGGAGAAGGCATTCCAGAAAGCACCGGTAGGTAGAGAAGGGGCGTGGCTTAAAACCCGAAAGGGGCGGATCCCTGTCTTATTTTTGTATGTCATTTCGAAGAAGATTCTTCAATTCTAGCAGGTTCTTAACGGCCCGTCTCAATTCATATCCGGGAAAAGTTCCGAATTTGTTTCGGGTATAAGTTGCAGGATTCTGAACAACTTCCCCGCAATCTTCCCGCAATGAAGTTATCAGTATTGGTGAGTCAAGCAGTTGCCAATGAATATTTCCCTGGAACATGTCTGAGACAAATGCAGAGCTTCTTCCGGACAAAGTGAATGATTCTACCCTCAACTTGTCCGCAACTCGTCCCGGATAGGAATCAAGACGGGCCCTGAGACATGATAACCAGATTTAAATTCATCTTCATCACTTTTATTTGAGGTCCCTTCAGATTTTTACATTGGAAGTAAAACTGAAAGATTTTTTCGATAACTCATAGGTTTAATGTCTTTTGGAGATCTCTGAAAACTTTCATCAATTTTACAGCACTTTTATTTATGTGTTATAATCTGTATGTGATTTGACATTTGTTTAATAAGCCAGTTCGGTTTCTCGATGAATGAGTCCAGGTCAAAGGTCATTCGGTATAAAATCGCTGACGTGATGATACGCGATTTTACGCTGACACCCATTCTGATTGTAATTAGCGCACAAGTGTCGTGCGCCCGTCTCCAGGCATGTTCATACGCCTTCGATTACCCCGTATAACCTGTGACCCATATCATTGTGCGCATGTGTAGTTGAAATACCCAAATGGCTTATCGGCAGATATTTTTTTAATAGACCAATTAGAGTTAGGCTGTCGCTCATGAATATGTATAGAATATAGTAAATATCTTGGGTTTTTTGTATTGGCTTTCCAGGATTATAAGCTAGTAATAGCAGGCCACAGTCTGGGAGCCGGCGCTGGGACAATCCTCTCCATCTTACTATGCAACACCTGGCCCGGCCTCAAGTGCTATGCCTTCGCACCCCCTGGTGGGCTCCTCAGGTAAGAACAAGAAACTTGCTTCATTGCTCATTGCAAAAGTCTTCCCTGAGCTCAAGAAATATCCTCTCAAATTCAGAACAATATGGAAACCTGTATTTTCAAAACACAATAATTGTCATTTCCTTTTGCTGAATTCTTTTTACTACATGTATGGCCAAAAAAAATAATAAGTCGGTCTCTGGTCAGCGCGCGCGTCGATTTTAATCATGCGCGTCAATCTTTTTTTTTTCCAAAATGTTCCGCGGTAGCTCCAACAGCGCCCTCTATTTCCGAACCTCCTCAATTTTTTTTACCAAAGAGCACCAAGGAATGGGAAATTGCACCAAGGCAAATGATCGACAGCACCAAGGCAAATTATGGAGGACACCAATGTACATGAGGACGTCTGTACAATCCAAGCTTGAAGAAAAAAAAAAAAAGCCAAAAAAAAAAAAAAAAAAAAAGCCGCGTGGCCGCGTCCATTCCGGAACTTTGGTCTGACCAGAGACCGAATTTTTTTTTTTTGGCCTAATAGGACTTATTGGCCTATCGCTGCAGAATCGCGTTAGAATCGCATCAGAATCGCGTCAGCGCAGCTTGTGAAATATTGTCCTGTACTGTGAATGACTGCACTATGACAATCCTAATTAGGGGATATAAACAGACGTGAATCAAAAGGATATTGATGTACGTTTACATGATGCTACAGCTGAAAAAATGTTACTTGTTTACAATATTTAATTTTTAGTTTAAGCAGTTCACGCCAGAATTATTTTTGGCATTGACCGGACCCAGGCGCGGGATTGTTTTCCACGAACCTCGATGCCAGACGGGTTCAGGCCGTCATCTGCGGGTAGCACACCCTGATATTTCCGGCCTAGCTCGTTGCTTGTTTAACCGTCATCCGTTCTGAATACCACATAACCTTTGCATGTGTACAGTGAACTGGTTGAGTAAAGATACTAAAACTGTTTCAATATATTGAATTCTTCTAGTGTTGGTACCCAGAAAACGATGTTGTTTGATTCTCATTCGCTCAAAACATGGCCTGTTGGATATTATCATGCAATAAGTAATTTGGAATACAGACTCCATGCACAAGCAGTTATCAGTATTCGCGAGTCAAGCAGTTGCCAATGAAAAATTTCCCCGGAACATGTCCAGGACAAATGCAGAGCTTCGTCTGGACAAAGTGAATGATTCTACCCGCAACTTGTCCAGAACTCATTCCAGATATAAATTCAGACGGGAAATTGTGCCTGCCTTGTGATGGATTTGTGATGGATTGAACTACAGCTCTGAAGCTGTGTTCATTCTTAAAAGCAATTTTAAGTAAATAGAAGATACCGTTTTAGGACTTGATCTACAGAGCTCGTATCAGGAGCTTGCGACACCATCAAAGTGTCTTTATCAACTGGCATTATCAAATGACATAACATCTCCGTGGACAATGTTAAAATCATCGCCAGGGAGGATGACCTCTGGAAACACAAAATCCGTGAAGCTGTAGAAATCCACAGGCACCGCCCCCATACGAACAGAGATGGAGGGTACGAGCTGGCCCACATGTACGACCGCCTCCTGTCGTGTGACCAAGCCTGGTCACGTGACGGGTCACGTGAGGGCCTCAACAACACCAGTTGATAAAGACACCGTGATGGTGTCGCAAGCTCCTGATACGAGCTCTGTTACTCAAGTCCCAAAAAGGTATCTTCTATTTACTTTATATAATAATGGGACTGGAAACGAACTTTGATGCTCAAAAATCAATTTTGTTTTTCTTTTTGCCCCACTGCAGTGCAGAGGGAGTAATCTACACAGCTGATTTTGTGACGTCCGTTTTGCTTGGGGAAGATCTTGTGCCCAGGTAAGAGCACATCCTAAAATGATGACACAAGTTTAACTTTGACAAGAAGTTCAGCGTGTTTATTTGCCCTGAAATTCTGAAAGACAACTTAGTAATCCTCCAAATTACCGCCTCTTATACCACCTTTGATTTTTTCTTTTCAGATTAGCCTTGGGTACTCTTGACGAACTAAAAAGTCGAATGATGGACATTGTCAAGCGATCAGACAGACCAAAGGTATGGCAGAATTTACAAAAATTTTCTGTAATTGTACTCGTACCTAAGCCAGCAGTTTTAACTGACTAAAGCTCGACTGATATTTTTTTATTGTTTTGTAGTGAAAAAAAAGTTAAGTATTTGGGTTTTTTGAGACCTTCGTCTTTTGATGACAGCTGAAACACATTATTCAAAACATTGGGCTGGACAACAATTGGGGGCGCTGTTCAGACTGGTCAAGTATGGACAACAGGGGGCACTATTCGTTGCAGATTATCTGTCAATAGAAAAAGATTTCAATATTTGGTTTTGCCCTTCACCGATGTATACTCGGCATTGTCTGAGGGCTTTACGGAAAAAATCTTCAAACTTACTCTTGCGTACTAGTGCAGACATCTTAACCACTCGACCACCGAGCTTGCTGGCAGCAGTGGACTGTTTCAAATCAAAAAGCCAGTATTAAATGCTCATCTTTTCAACACAGAATTTCATCAATAAAACAAAACTCTCCCTTTGCCCATCTAGTACCAAACCCTCTTGGGTGGCTGTTGGTGGACATGCTGTGGCTTCCCCGAGACCCTCCCCCATTCCTCGGACTCGGTCCACGATCACCCTACGGAGGACCCAGAGAGTAGACAACCCCTGATCAACAGCCAAGCCACGCCCAAAGCCCGGCCCAACTACACCGGGGCGACGGCGGTGACGGAGGGAAATAACGGAAGTACGGCCGGGGGTCAGTCTGATGCCGGGGGAAGGATTGAGCTGTACCCACCGGGCAGGATACTGTGGGTATCAGAGGACGATAGACCATCGAGGTATTAAAAGGTTGACATTTTCACGCACAGATTTGAGCAAGTTCGGGCCAGGACCATTAGTCGACTAGTCGTTGATTTCCGACGTAACTTACACCTGTGCACTTATAGCAACATGCGAACGTCTCTAGTCAAACGCTGGTCAAAATGTCATCGCAATATTTCTGGGTCCTGGCTCCCTGCCTGGCTGCATAGCACGGCTATTGGTTACCAGCGAAGCAACCATGCCCAGTAGGCTGGCTCCAAATAGTCAACTAGCGTAGTCAACCATCGTCGACTAGACAGAGTTCGGGCAAACTTTAGTCAAACTATGGTGATCCATTGGTCAACAACAGTTCGTGTGCGAACTTGCACTTAGTTGTTGGGTTAACAGACTCAACTCGATCACTGTTTTGAAATATTTTTTGAAATCTTTCTTTCTATTGTTGTATTTTTTTTTTTCTAGACTTTACTTTTCTTTGACTTTAATTCTCTGCAACTTTTCTTCTAAATGGTACTTGGTACAAACTTAAAAATTGGAACAAACGTCAACCCTGTTCCAAAGATGTACATATTACTCTGACGTCCTGATGACGTCATCAGGTGTCAAAATTACAAACAATTTTAGTTCAAAACGCGACTGACTGCCCTCAATTAGATTTCTTGTACAAAAAGATCAATCATGTTCGATCTTTGTAGTCATATGGACTGTTAATCAAATTTGTACGAACGCTCTTGCAGGGTTGGTTCATTTGTGCGAAGAATGACATTTCCTTTCCAGAGGGTTGCAGAGTGCAGACACCAAAATTGGAATAAAGTAGTTTTTTTAGTCTGGAAATTTAATTTTAACTTTGAACAAAGTAATTGACTGGAGTGGGGTTTCAACCTGCGACTCCTCGATTGCCGTTCCGGTGCTCTACCAACTGAGCTATCCAGCCCTATGTTGGCAGTTCCCCAACATTTGAAATTGAAAATTTGTGAGGAGTATGCATCTTTAAGTTCTCATTACAGAAATCCAACATCTCTTTGCCAGCCCTACCTCTTGTTATTTTCATGTACATTTTTTTGCTGAATTAAATCAGGTTGCAATTTTGTAATCTTTTTGTACTCTACCATCTGAGAATTCAATGCATTTTTCACAGTGGGGTTAATTTTTTTGAATTTCCCGGTTTTTGTCATTGATCCCCCAATAATCACAGGAGATCGATCTGCTATCAACCGTCCTACAAAATCAAGTGGGCGACGTGTCAGGATTTCAGCCACATCATCATCAGCCCCGCGATGGTTGGCGATCACATACCGGTCAAGCTGATCAGAGCCTTGGAAGAAATGGACGAGGCTTGCTGTGTCGGGCTCGACTCCAACGACCATCCTGTATGATGAAAAAAAAGTCGGGAGTTTTTAGAGGTCCGGCGAGTGCGGGTCAAGATTTATCTGCAGTGTTTAAAGTCCACAGACACAAGGTACTTAATGATATAGGCTCCGTGCACCAACAAAAGAGGGCGCGTTTTTACCACTTTTGAGAGCTCCATGGATTGGACACACAGTGTGCGTGAGAGCGCTGTACTGTACTGGTTGGTGCGCGAAGTGCGCACGACTCCCTGAATGTGCAAAAGCTATCAGCCACAGCGTCTTCGCGCGAGTGACAGTTGTCGTCGGCGCGTAAATACGTTCAAATTTAACCTGCAATGGTCTCACAGAATAATCCATGCCCCCAATAATTTTGGATCATTTGAAATACGTAGTGGCTGGACCGCGAACCAGTCGAGGTCTCTCCCAACTCTCCTTTTCTGGCCATTGAGGGGGTACTTGTGCACGGAGCCTATAAAGACTAGGGAAGACTAGTAAAACTGGTCTCAGTGTCCACAAAATTCTATTCTTATTGAATCTGAATGGCTCATCATGCATCTGGTCTGCACAATGGGCTGGATTTAGCCCATTCATTGACGTTACGGGGTAATCCTATACAACAGCACTGCCCGGCTCAGTCAGTCAGTCAGTGAGTAGGGAGAAAGAGAACGATATTGTGGCACTCGGGGACAAGCAAATATAATTAACATGTCAAAATTGAGCCGCATTCATATGTTCAACAGACTTAAAACTCGAGTGTGTTGTGTCTTGATGACGACTCGTTTTTCACCACTAGAGGGCGCCCTTTTCAATGCGCATTTTGTACCCACTTGGATGGAGAATTCTTACCACAATAGCAATACGTGTATTAGTGTGTATCAATGTGTGCACTTCTGCTTTCAAAAGGTGTATAAGTCACTATCTTCAAGCTTATTGAAGTTTTCTAAAATGGTGGTCAAAAGCAGCAACGTATCCTGAATTTCTTGAGTTAGGCCACTGTACATGCCATGGGTGCGTTCCACTTATGCCAAATGATGCAAAAAATTGAACAACTATTTCCAATTAGATAGTCACAAAGAGGGCGTAACAGTTGCGAAGGTTTGCACGAGTGGAACGCAGCCCTGGCAGAATTATGGATAGGTCATGTGACTCTTTGCCTAGACTTCATTGGTTGATGGCTTCGAACCTATTCATGCATATTGACGATTACCTTTTCTTTAATTCTAAGATTTACAGATTTGAAATAATCTTTGACCATCATCTGATACAATGAACAGTCAATTTTTTTTCGTCCTGTCTGCTTACGGAGTGCAAAAAATCTCATTGTAATTTGTAAAAGTGTAGATATTTTCAGGGCAATTTTGATACTCAATCAGCATTTTCAGGATTTCCCACACATTATGTGGAATTCAGTTCTCAAGAAAAACAACTCAAGGACATAATAAACTTAGAAAAAGATGTTGGCTTGAAAACTCTTAGTAAGTTTTTAACAATATCCAACATCAAATAGGGTAGCAACTTTGGATACGACTCATATGCCTATAGGAACATGTTTACATATTTGTGACACTCTCCACAAAAAAGGGTATTATGTTATATACATGGTTGGAAAGCCCATAATGTAAGCTTTCATTTGGTATATAATAGAGCTCCATAGCCCCTCCCGTTCTGGAGATATGACGTATTTGCATATTAATTACTTCCTTGGAGTTCAAATTACTGAAAAAACAGGCTTTGAAATAGCTGGCTCTGTTGTAGATTTGGGCACGATGCACTCGCAATTGTCATTTTGTCCCACTTAATTTATCGAAATCAAAATTTCTGTGAATGAATCCTGACAAAAAATGGAAATCATATTTTGACCTTCTCAACGTTGAGCGGATCGTTACATGATAATGCACAGCATTAATTTATAACTTTTTTTTGTAGAGTTGGTCACATTTGTAAACAATTTTTTTGTTTGTTCTTTCTGTAACATAAGATGTTGACCCATTCGACTTAAGCCACGTATCAAACCTTGAAAATGGTGTTAATTTTTTTTAAAGACTTTCTGTGATTGTGTAATGAACTGAGCCAGGATGCTTGCCACTTTTAGTATAATTAGTGGAGAATTTTGATTGAATTTCGAAACGGTACCATGAGTTTTCAATTTTGTTTTAAATTGGGGTTGGTTATGATGGAAAATGAAATATTTCCAGAAAGGGTTATACATCCTTATTTTAATTTGATATGAAATACTATTAATTTCTTAGTATTTGGTAATCAGTCACTCGCACTTGTACTGCAGTTTTTTTCACAGATATAAGTTGATGCTATATTATGAGGTTGTAACTATGTCATTTAATGTGTGTCTTTATTATTTTTTTTATTTTGGTGTATTTATTTCTTTTGCCCAATTTCTATGCTTGCCTTCTTGCATGATGCCATCCTTGCTCGTATCATTCGGTAAAAACCTGTGTTTCTTGCATATATTGCTGAAATTTAAGTATTTTTTTTGCATTTGGGACCTTTTTAGTATTTATGCATTTGCTAATGAAGCTATCTATGTAAGAGTCTGTATTTGCAAGTATTTTGTTCTGTATTTCATTATACATTATATGTTATACCAAATTTAAGGGAAAAACCTGTTTCATCTGAAATCATGTCCGAGTTGAGCATTTTGTTTTCTTCAAATGGTTAAGGATGGACAAATTAAAATGTCAGAGGCAAATACTAAAGCATTCTCACACAATCGCTTGATATACTTACGGCCTAAATCTTTCAGTACAGTAAGCCACTGCATGCAGGTTTTTTTTTCTGCAGAGTGCGGAATAAGTTATATCTTGTAGGTAGCAATTGATGTCATTTTGTTAACAAAAATAAAATCCACAAAATTGTAAATTATTACGTACATGTAATATGCCATTTATCTTTATTACATTTATCTGCAATGTTTGTGAATAGCATTTACAACAACAAAAATTACCAAATGAACAATATTGATTAATTTTTCGTATCCATTTTATCATAAAGTAGCATTGTCATGTCTGTGAGAAAAAAACTTACTTATATTTTGTGAAAGTACTCAGCACCTTGTTTGCAATATCTGCTTGTAAATTAAATGTTTGTAAAAACCAGATTAATTAGCCAAATATTTGCATATTTTCAAAAAAAATATATAAAAGATTCGGATATGAATAGTTAGAGATATGTGTATATTTTGCTGCACGTTCTGAAAAAGCTGAAATGTTAGTTTAGATTTGATGCCGGTTATGTGCATAGGTGACGATCGGATGTTCTGGAAAAGAAAACTTATTGCAAACATCTGGAAAATATGTCCTGACATAAATGTGTTTGGTTAATTGTAATATAAATATCAAATTTCTGTAGTTTAATTTTAAAGGTTTTTTTTGTAATGCACTTTTTATAATTGTGTTTCTAGATAGACTCAAATACACAGCAATTGGAATGGATGTAATTAATTTCTACAAATATAGTTAACGAATATATCTTTCTTTCAGATAAATACAATTTGATTACAATAACTTGAAATAAATGACTTTTCAAAGGTACTGGATTCTTCAGTTTTCCATTTATCACACTTTCTTGAAAACAATGTGCCAATCAACTTTTTTTGAGGGTGTTGGGGGACGCTGATGATTTAGGGCAAATCATTTCGGCAGGTATTTCCAAGTTATCTTCCTTTTTTTAACCTATTTGTTTATAGTTTTTGTGCGGACACCAACAGTTTTTGGTTCAAAGTTTTCAACAATGCAGGTCCAATATTTAGCGCCCTCTATTGATAAAACGAACAGCGCCCTCTATTGACCTGATACCATTACCAACTCGCCCCAACGTTTTCGCCCCTTTTACCAACTCGCCCCACAAGTGAAGAACAATAGAGGGCGCTGTATATTGTTATCAAAAATTGGGCTCTATTTATTTCGCCAATAGAGGGCGCTATATATTTTATCAACAGCGGGCGCTATTTATTTGGTCAAGAGAGGGCGCTGTTCCTTTTACCGATAGATGGCGCTATTTATTGGGACGAAATTTAAAACGGTAGATGTGAACGTGTGTCCAAAACTTTCTCTTTGAAAAGGTAAGTTTTTATAAATAAAAGCCAGGGTGCTTTGCAAGTTATAAGACTATGAATATGTACACATGTATACGCCATCGGAGGATAAAGTTTGGAAAGAATAAAGCATCCTGACTCCACTTTGAAAACGTTAAATCAACTGCGTGCGCCTGACAGAATCTAGCCCCATCAGCCCATAAATGTGGCCTATTTACTGGACTGCCTCCGTATACATAGGCCACACGTCCACATGCAGGCGCGGTTCTAGAGCCAATATTTTGGGGGGGCTAGCACGGTGAATCCAGAAATTTTTTTCAGGGAAGCGTGCTGAAATGTTGACCGGTTATTTTTTCCAGACACTTAGGCCTCCGAAAATCAATAGGTGGTGGTGGTGGTGGTGGTGGTGGGGGGGGGGGGGGGGGGGGGGGGGGGGGGGGGGGGGCTCATGCCATATTTTCAATGGGGAGCGCCAATAAAATCCTAAAATCATTCACACTATAGCAAGGGCGGATCCAGAACACAATTTTTTTGTGGGGGGCCAAAAGAACGTAGAACCGCGCCTGTCCACATGTACAAAAATCGTGTCGACTTTGCCAAATTTTGATTTTCACATTTAGGCTTAGTTTGTAGGGTTTTTTGGCTTTAGAAGCATACTCAACCTCTTTATAGGCTAATCAGAAAGTGCTTCCTTTTTCAGATGTATATTTTTTGTGAAATTTCCAGATTCATTTTTACACGTTTGCGTATCAAAATTTCAACATGAAATTTCACAAAAATTAGACATCTGAAAAAGGAAGCACTTTCTGACTAGCCTATGAAGTGGGTGAGTATGCTTCTACAGCAAAAAAATCCTACAAACTAAGCCTAAATGTGAAAATCAAAATTTGGCAAAGTCGACACGATTTTGTACATGTGGACGTGTGGCCTATGTTTACGGAGGCAGTCCAGTAAATAGGCCACATTTATGGGGCTAGACAGAATCATGAGAATGTTCCTCTCTACTCGAGGCCTATACTTCCAGTTCCAGAACTAGGTCCTCTCTATTTTCCTTCTTAATCCTAATTTTTATGCCATGGTGTGAAAATTGCTGTGGGGAGACCGAGGGCCGGTACCTTGACATTTCTCTGAGACTCAATATTAAGGAGGTTGTCACTGGGAAATGGATTTCCATGATATTGCATTTTTTCCATATCTATGTTATGTTGTGGCCTATGTTTCATTAATTCCCCTGTCAAAACTGTATCAAGTTACATAAAAAGTCACAGCCAATCAATCCTAGCTGCTTTGAGTAAAAGAATGTATGAAAAAAACAGTCACTTGACTGTTTTTGACTGCTTGGATGGCTTTGTTAAATTTGCCAGCCAGAGATTTTAAATGATAGCTGATTGATGTGTGTGTCATAGGATGCAGAGCAATGACTACCAATTTGAAGTCAGTGTTCGAAATAACAATTCCATGGGACTACTGTAATTATCCAATTTGACAATTTCCTTTTTTATGTTTATTGTAATCAAACAGGTTTATGAAGAGCTGAGTCGGGAATCATTTGATGTTTGGGCAGGCAGTTATACCCCTGAGAGAGAACACAGGCAAGAGCAGACAAACCCAACTTCCAAAGGAAAGTGGAAGTGGAGCACTCGGGGTATCAGAGCAGACCCTTGGAACGACTGACAAGCAGAAAATCTGGAAACAGAAAGCTGAAGGATGAGCCATTGCCATTTTGCTGCATTGCCGCAGAAACTTGGACAAGACGATCCGGGTGCTGATGTGTGACATTAACTGCCGAGCTGTGGGGTTTGTAGGCTCCTAGCAGCTGCTGTGGCATCCACTAGACTCGTCGTCGTCAGGCAATCCTCGATTCGAGGAGTTGTCACTTTTGCTGCTGTCTCCCTCGCTGTTAATGACTGGTCTCGTGGCTATATAGTCTCAGCCGTGACTGTTTTGGTTGTCCACAGATGGAGCAGGAGAACTGCAGGGTTGAGTAAGGCTGAGACACTAGACTGATTCCTGCAGAAATACAGCAGCAGGTTGGTGGAGAGAGGCAGGGCCCAGATCATAGAGAAGGTCACCCACCCAGCTATCAAAGGCGCTGAACCAGTCAGGATATAAGGAGGACGTCTGGAATTGGAGATCCTGGACTGGATTGGATTGATCCTACTCATGGCCTGGATTGACTGCCTTAAGTATGATAATGTGTGCAATTCAGGCTCTGTAGTTACTCCTTACTACTTGTAGTGCAATTGGTATGGTTTGGGCCATTTTAATACTGAACCTTGTTTTCTATGTACATGTAATGTAATTTTAAGTTTGGCCTAAAAAAAACACCAAAACCCCCCCCCCCAAACAATTCCCACATTTCCTATTACCAAATCCAACCTAGAAAATCATACAAAACCGAAATTTTTGTGTGCAAAAAATTTAAACAAATGAAAAACTGGTGCTGCTCCACCCTAGTTTTTGTGGACAGTGTTTGAAATTGTTATTTCATATTTTTAAGTTGGTCGGCAGTGCGGTCTTGCTGCATGATGCACTGTGCATGTGCAGCAAAGCTTGCAAACACTGCAGCAGATGCAGATTGAACAGTTGGTTCACACATTAACTGTTATAACGCGAAATGAAATTAAAAAAAATAATAATAAAAATGAATCTTCCATCATCCCACCCTATTTTTCTGGCTTTACAAATTTTGTGCCAAAAAGAAAAAGATTGTACCCACCTCTATTTTTTTTCAGTGTAATAGGAAACAATATTTATTCGTCTTGGCATAATAAATTTTACTATTCCTTTACTTATAAGCAGTAAACAGTGAATGAATTGAATAATGCAAATTTGGATTGGGATGCATGAAACCCTTCGATTGAACACATCTTCAATATCTCTTACTTGGATATAGAGTCTGAGAAGATGCAAAGCAGTGTTGTCTTCATGACCTTTGACATCACCGTACCCTCTCCTGCCCATCCTTGGGTCAATTTTGGACCACTTTTATGTCAAGTGACTTGCATACCAATACCCTCGTATTCCGATATTTTCTGCAAATCCAGTTTTTTTAGTTGACAGAAATGTCTTGAGTTTAATTTGAGTCACTTTTATGCCTTAAACAAAATACATGTAACTAGCTTTATCAGATTTCTTTCTTACTTTTCGAACACAACACTTCAAACATGTCAGTTAAACAATATTTGATCTATTATACTAACCCCTCAAATAGTTCATTTCTAAAAATTATAGCAAAAGCCAATGATGTACATTCCCTTTAAACCAACTGATTCCATGTATTCAACAGTTTGGCTCTATATCAGCTTTTATATTGGCATAAAGCATTAAACATTTTGAGTTTTCCATTACAAAAAATGAATGTTTTTAACTTTTTATCAAAGCATCACCCCAATTGTACAATCAGTGATAACTTATTTTAATATAACATTCTCCAGTCAAAAGAATTAAAATGACAAATGCTTTGGACATTTCTTGAAAATTGTCGCTTCTTTAAGATTGCATGCTTGTATGAAACTTCCCCCTACACCCCCCCCCCCTCATAAAAAACTTGGTCCAAATATTCTACTCGGACTTATTATTGAAAAGGAATTGAACAATCAAATTCCATCTTACAATTGAAAAATGAAACATGAAAGTTGAGTGTTTCTATTAAAGTACATTCAAATTCAACCAAAAGTTCAAATGCTTTTCAAATGCAGGTATAATGTGTGTTTTGGAGAAGGCAAAAATTAAGGCAAAAAAAAAAAAAAACCAGAATGGGACTCGAACTAGGGTCGCCTGATTGTGAGTCTTACGCTGATCCACAACAGCATAACCGCGCTCAGTTACCTGTCAGGTTCTGCTTAATTATAACTGTAAGATAGGCTTATCATGGCTTTTCACGTTGACGCCCATACACGCTTAGACGTAACACACAGTCCTACGATGCAAATCACTCGTTTGATTTTGGTTGTAGATGTTTGTGTTGATCTAAATTTGATTAGAAAAGGGTAAAGGGTGTTAACTGAACTAAAATCGTGAAATTCAATGAACTAAAACTCGCACAATGCGTGGTTTCAGTACGAAACACACATGTTCAACGGATGCAGGGAAGGCCATTTCTTTTGTTAATTTCCTTTGTTGAATCTGGCGTTAACAATAAAATGTTTCCATTGAGGCGAAAGGATTAAACGCCGTGATCTTTTTTCACGCTTGAGTGCCTCTGAATGGGGAATATTGAAGCGGAAAATCACGAATTACGGCACTTAGGAAGCATTTTAACCCACATAATGATACTTTTTGAAGAGGAAATTGCATACTGAAAACAACTATAGTTTCAAAATGCAAAAATTCGCCCTATTTAAAAAGTCGAGGTAAAATTTTTGGAAAAATTTGACCCAAACTTTCCTGTTTCCAACGTAGGTGGCGCTATATATATTCCATCCTTCAATTCTATACAGAAACGCTCGTTCCTCTAGGGGCGACAATTATTGGTCGCCCCTAGCGGAAGTTCCTCGGGGGCGATAAATATCGGTCGCCCCCAGCGGTATACCGCTGGGGGCGACAATAACGGTCGCCCCCAGCGGTACAAGCGTTATACCGCTAGGGGCGACAATAGTGGTCGCCCCCAGCGGTACGCGCGTTAATATATACCGCTAGGGGCAACAAGAAAGGTCGCCCCTAGCGGAAGTTCCTCTGGGGGCGATCAATATCGGTCGCCCCCAGCGGTATACCGCTAGGGGCGACAATAACGGTCGCCCCCAGCCGTACAAGCATTAATATATACCGCTAGAGGCGACGTACCGCTAGGGGCGACGTACCGCTAGGGGCGACGTACCGCTAGAGGCGACTTACCGCTAGAGGCGACTTACCGCTAGAGGCGACTTACCGCTAGAGGCGACTTACCGCTAGAGGCGACGTCGCCCCTAGCGGTACGGTACCGCTAGGGGCGACAATGGTGGTCGCCCCCAGCGGTACGCGCGTTAATATATACCGCTAGGGGCGACAAGAAAGGTCGCCCCTAGCGGAAGTTCCTGTGGGGGCGATCAATATCGGTCGCCCCCAGCGGTATACCGCTAGGGGCGACAATAACGGTCGCCCCCAGCCGTACAAGCATTAATATATACCGCTAGAGGCGACGTACCGCTAGGGGCGACGTACCGCTAGGGGCGACGTACCGCTAGGGGCGACGTACCGCTAGAGGCGACTTACCGCTAGAGGCGACGTCGCCCCTAGCGGTACGGGTACCGCTAGGGGCGACAATGGTGGTCGCCCCCAGCGGTACGCGCGTTAATATATACCGCTAGGGGCGACAAGAAAGGTCGCCCCTAGCGGAAGTTCCTCTGGGGGCGATCAATATCGGTCGCCCCCAGCGGTATACCGCTAGGGGCGACAATAACGGTCGCCCCCAGCCGTACAAGCATTAATATATACCGCTAGAGGCGACGTACCGCTAGGGGCGACGTACCGCTAGGGGCGACGTACCGCTAGGGGCGACGTACCGCCAGGGGCGACGTACCGCTAGAGGCGACTTACCGCTAGAGGCGACGTCGCCCCTAGCGGTACGGGTACCGCTAGGGGCGACAATGGTGGTCGCCCCCAGCGGTACGCGCGTTAATATATACCGCTAGGGGCGACAAGAAAGGTCGCCCCTAGCGGAAGTTCCTCTGGGGGCGATCAATATCGGTCGCCCCCAGCGGTATACCGCTAGGGGCGACAATAACGGTCGCCCCCAGCCGTACAAGCATTATATACCGCTATGGGCGACAATATCGGTCGCCCCCAGCGGTATACCGCTAGGGACGACAATAGTGGTCGCCCCCAGCGGTACGCGCGTTAATATATACCGCTAGAGGCGACAAAGGGCGCCCCCAGCGGTACAAGCGTTATACCTCTAGGGGCGACAATAGTGGTCGCCCCCAGCGGTACGCGCGTTAATATATACCGCTAGGGGCGACAAGAAAGGTCGCCCCTAGCGGAAGTTCCTCTGGGGGCGATCATTATCGCCTGTTTTGTTCCGTTATAGTTGACTTCTATTCGGATCGCATTTTCTCGCTGACCTCATGCTTTTGTTTTAGTTGAAGACCCATTCAACTTATTCTTAAGTTTTCTTTATGAAATATGCTTGGAAATAAGATCAGGCGGCTAGCACGCACTGAGAAATAAAATCATATATAGCGCCATGGCGCTAACCAACGGCACATGCGAGAATGAAATATATATAGCGCCACCTACGTTGGAAAGAGGAAAGTTTGGGCCAAATTTTTCCAAAAATTTTTCCTCGACTTTTTTAATACGGCGAATTTTTGCATTTTGAAACTACAGTTAGATTCAGTATGCAATTTCCTCTTCAAAAAGTATCATTATGTGGGTTAAAATGCTTTCTAAGTGTTGTAATTCGTGATTTTCCGCTTCAATATTCCCCATTCAGAGGCACTCAAGCGTGAAAAAAGATCACGGCGTTTAATCCTTTCGCCTCAATGGAAACATTTTATTGTTAACGCAAGATTCAACAAAGGAAATTCACAAAAGAAATGGCCTTCCCTGCATCCGTTGAACACGTGTGTTTCGTACTGAAACCACACATTGTGCGAGTTTTATTTCATTGAATTTCACGATTTTAGTTCAGTTAACACCCTTTACCCTTTTTCAATCAAATTTAGATCAACACAAACATCTACAACCAAAATCAAACGAGTTATTAATGTCGTCAGACTGTGTGTTACGTCTAAGCGTGCATGGGCGTCAACGTGAAATCCACGAAAAGTCTATCTCGTAGTTATAATTTAACAGAACACTGTAAACGTTGGAACGCGTTGGTGGTTTTGTGGACCGGCGTAGGACTCCCAAACAGTCGACCCAGGTTCGAGTCCCACCCTTGTTATTTTTAGGTTTGGATTTTTTTGCCTTCGCAAAAATAATGTTTAAATGCTTTTTCAGCAGTCAATCAAACAGGTCAATTAAATACGATGAATTTAGAGTATTTTTGGTTGATTTAGACATAAAAGGCTTCTGAAAGATTCAAGCCATATGCCAAATTAAATAGGCTTGTTATGGACACCAAGCCATATCAACAGAGTTTCTTAATCATTCTGACAATTTGATGTTTTGTTGTTCAGTTGAAGATGACATCAATACAGAATTTCAATAAGTATTTCTCGCACTACCAATATTTCTACACCTTTTGAGTTGTTTTACCTTGATCCTAACCCATCCCAACTTTATCCCCTGTGAAATATACGGCACACTATATCATTAAAAACCAACACACACAAATGAAAACTTTCACAACTTTGGGGTAAGTTTCCCTTTCGACTTTTTTTGTTTTATTATATTGCATAGATCTATCAAACGTTACTACCATTATAATTAATACCAGATATCCTGTATGTACAGACAAAATTCACCACAATGATACCTTGATAAAGTTTTTGTTTTAAATCCTGCCATGTACAATGGAGAACTTGATTTTAGGTACATAACAAAAATTGAATAAATAAAGGTCCATCGTTTTAAAGTTGATATGAAGAATAGAAAGTTGTTCACCTTTCGATGTTAACAAAGTCGTGAGCGGACACACTGTATGGAAACGAAATGCGGGTTTTTTTCCACTATAACATGAACATGCAAGGAACCTTGCAAAATATTCTATGACACTTTTGATATCCACAAACAAGGACAATTGTTTTCATTGTTCATCTGATGATGGAATGCACCCCTACTTATGCTATCATATTTTTTTTTATTATAAACAAAAGGAGGAATAAATACAACAGCCTCTTCACATTCACAAAAAAATATATATGTGGAATAATTCCAAATGAGTGGATCTAACGATGTTTCTCTTTTTAATTTTTGGAAGTTCGTAACCATGAGGTAAAGTACCATTTTATCTTCAAAACTAAAACCTCTCCAACTGTAAAATCAGAGACAAGAGTAAAGTGTGTGGAAATCCGATACCAGTTTTCGAGAAATTGTTTCAAAGTATATTGGAGCATCTATTATTCAAATACACAATAATTTTGGTGTGTGTATATTTAACCAACACATGATTCAACCCATTTCAAGTCCTTGCTATAATTATCGCTTTCAATGATTACTGAAAATAAGTTGTTTCTTTTAAATAATACACCATCTACTTGAAAAAGGTATTTGCCATTATTATATACATCTTGAGTTTTTCTTTTAATAAATATTGGTGCAAATTCCAGTATAACAGTGAAAATCTTGAGTCTAAACTCTTCAGAACCAATTAAATTTCCATCCTCTAGTTAAAAATGACCAAGCTCATAGATGGAGAACCATATAGAGATGTAGCATTTTGCAAATCTTTCTTGACCAATCAAATCTCTTGTGATTATGCACTAGCTTTCAACTCTGTTCTGCTATTGGTTAACTTCATGAATAGTAATGAGTGAACATCTCATTAGCATACAGTTTCACTGGCCTTGAATACAGGTGTCAACCCACACAAGCTGCCCGCAGCCTGTCTGCATTGCGTTTTGATATGATTTGATATATTTAAGTGTGCCTCGCATAAATCAATACACTTTTCAAACTTAAATCGTTTTGATATCACACGTCAACGCATGCTTAGTAATGAGGTTACTGTAATGTTTAGAAGAAAAAACACTATTTAGTGGTTGTCATGGCAATGACACCATTTTGAAATAACATTTTAATTATGGACAACCATTTTCTCATTCTGTAAGCTGTTTAAACCTTTTATAACCAGAAGGGTACAAAAACGAAAGATATGTACAATCAACAAAAATGTAAAATTTCAATTGCTGTACACTGGCAGGCCATCTTAAACCAGAATATAGGTTTCTATTATAATATTTGAACAAGTTATAAGTCTCTTTCAAAGATGGCCATCTCTGTAGAACTGCAACTGCGTATTTTACGCAATCAAGCACGCATTGTGCTGTGTTGAAAATGTTCCCAACATGCTCGAAATGTGTTCGAAATACGATGCAGCCGATGCGCGTTATGCACGCTGATACTCAAAATGCTGATGCTCAAAATGCCGATGCACGTGGCTGGTCTGTAGGAAATGACATCATTTGAGAGAGACCTATTGTGCTCTGGGTTGTATTGAACACCTTTCTTACATATCTCTTATGCCTACTCAAAAATGTAATATGAATGGAAAGTGTGCCATAATTTCTGGCTATACTGTTTGCAGTTCTGCTGATCAATGTCCGTTAATTAGGAACCAAAATCAATGACGAATCTTTTCTTACATGTAAATTTGTCAGCCATTTTAGCGGAAGGAAGCAAAAAAGTGACCACGAAACCTTATGTGACTTATATGACTTGTTCCTAATTATATACATTTTGTATCTCTTAAAAGTAGACCAATAAAGTTAAGAGAGAAATATGTTTATGCACAAATTCATACAAACTAGCTTGCTCAAAGTATCTTATATATATTAAATTTCCTTTTAAAGTGACTTCTTTATATAGTGATGCTAAGAACTGAATGGACACCTGATGTAAGCCCACAGCCTAAAACTCTTTACAGAACCCTATCCTCCCAATGCATAAAAAAAAGATATATCAAAATATTCCAACAAACACTAAGACGCCTAAGTTTCCACTTTCCATAAACACCCATCACACACAATTGCAATTTAGTACATGAAAGATTCTCCCGTTGTATTACAAGAGAACACTATTGTCTTCTGCAGGTTTGAACCTTAAATGCAAGGCTGTGTATGTGCTGTATCATCGTGCGCGCATAGCTGGCCATAGCTAGCTTATTACCCGGCCGACTTCACATACGCGGCGAAACCCTGAATCCATCGCACGCACGAAGCCCGCAGTGCATACTGTACGTACTGTAATGGTTATCCTATTGAGAAATCCTCATGGAAGTCTCATGTAATGGTTATCCTATTGAGAAATCCTCATGGAAGTCTGACAAAGAGGCTACACTGTATATTACATGTAATGTACATGTACACACATGTGAGAATCCCAGCCCGCGTGCACTTGCGTGTAAATGTACATGTGCGAGTCTGTGCTCGTTTCAGGTATGGGCTGTGACTCCACATGGGGCAGTACTGCGCATGTGCATGCACTGTGGGTTTCGTGCATACGATGGACAAATCGCGGTTCACCGTGTGTGTGGAGGTGGAGCCCGGTAAGCTACGGCCAGTGATGCCCGCACGCTGATACAGCACATACACAGCCTTGCATTCAAGACTAGTTTAAACCGTTCTCTGAATGTGAATATTCTACATGATGGTATTTTTGTGTTCTGTTAATTATACAACTCAGGTGACACGAACTATTTTCTTTATAAACTTATTCCCACAGTGCTCTAGGATTAATATGTCCTAAATTGCAAGTTAGGTTACACTTGAATTCCACTAGGAGCTACAACCAAAAGAAACCGTCTTCCACTTTTGTACTATGCAAAAATGAGTTAAATAATTTGCATACTGGATTAATTTTTTTAAGACGATACCACAATACAGATTCTTTTTGTTACAAAAAAATGACCAAGATCCATGGGATATGAAAACTACTTAAATTTGGCACCAACACTAAAAAGTAACAAAATACACTAGCAAATGGCATTCAAATACCAAGACTTTCCCACCACCACTAACAGAAACAAAAATTCCATGATCTACATGTACCTACGTTTAGTTTAATTTACCACTAAGACCTTAACCAAAATGGCTGCTCGCAGACAGAAAATGATTTAACATGGTACATGTACATGGTACATGTATATACATTTTCAAGTGTACATGTATGTAGTATGCATAATCCAGCCTAGCGCACACTGGCTTCAAAAACCATGAACGTAAACAACCACCAAAAACGGAGAAAGAAAATATATATCACACAACGTAATATTTTCTATTAGAGTCACACACATACCTACGAAAACGTCACCAGTGGTCTATTTTCACATTAAGAAAATGTACAGAATTTTTTTTACTTTTTGTACAGTTTTGTACATTTGCATGGGAAAGAGGCAGGTTAAAGACACGTGGGGTTAAAGGTCAAGGGCTAGTCTCTTTCAAGTTGAATTCATTGGCCCAGGACTAGTCTCTTTCAAGTTGAATTCAAAGGTCAAGATCTAGTCTCTTTCAAGTTGAATTGAAAGGTCAAAGGGTAGTCCCTTTCAAGTTGAATTCAAAGGTCAAGGGCTAGTCTCTTTCAAGTTGAATTCAAAGGTCAAGGGCTAGTCTCTTTCAAGTTGAATTCAATTCTCAAACTAATGGACTGATTTCTACTTTTTATAATTCTAAATGTGAATCCTGACTACAAAACCAACTTGGGTGTGCGGCCAAAAACAAAACGGTTTTCAAAATGGAATCTGAGGCAAACCACCCCAAATTTTGTGTCAGTTCGGAAAAACCCCACTGTCATTACATATAGGACAAGCACGCATACATTCGGCCGAAGATTTCTTGATAACAAAGTGCTTAATGCCTAATTATCCTAAAATCTTAACACACCTCAAATTTTAACACACAAATGGAAGACACTCGGGCTTAATACCTTTTATGAGTGAAACAAAATAACACCAAGAAAGAAGGGAAAAAAAGGAAGAAAATTAGACTTATGTACAATTTCAAAAATTAAGTCTGATTGAACACTAGAGGGCATGCAGAACAAAGATTTGACCAATCAGAACCCAGAACTCAAGCTAGGCCCGGTCACGTGATGTCTACGCTTGACCAATGAGATACAAGAAATCCATGGCAAGTACTGCAAAGTGAGTATGCATGGTTTCATGTATAGGCTGGTTGCTGATTCGGAAATGGTGAAAACATTTGAAAATTAAAGCGCCCTCTAGTGTTCCTTGGACTACAGCCAATCGTTGAATCTGAATCACAGCGACGGTGGCGCTAACCCATTCGCCAGCCGTCACTCGCCATGAAACTTAGCTCTTCAGGAAATAATAATGATCATCAAGTGATTAATTGCATGATTTGTGTTTGGTTAAGACGATTACGATTGTCGATTCTGCATACAAGGCAATCCTATGCAACAATTACTTTTGCCTATTACACAATAAATTACATTGAGCAGCTAAAAACTGAAAAGAGTACATAATTTTGATATTAGTATAAGAGCGAATTGTTAGAGAACGTCTAAGCTAATAAAATTTGGCCGATGATGAATTAAACTAGTTTTCGCTTCATGCAGAGATTTGAATTTGCTAACCATAATTCTCAACGCTTGCTGAATAAATTAGCAACCGGAAAATTCTGAAAAGCCTATTCTGAAAATGCGCATTGAGAAGTCATTGCAGTGTACATGAATGCGCGCATGCAGAAATCTCCGATGAGGCATTTTTATAGACGGTTTGCACTGCAGCCATGTTTGAGGTGTGTGCTTTTGTTCAACAGGGGTACGCATTGGTAGACCTCTCAAGATGGCTGCCAAATGCAACCAATCTATAGTTAGTTTATTGCATGATGAATAATGTCCGATTACATAATGCACAACACCGACTCAAATACTACGCGCCGTACTCAATAAGCAGCAGGGTATAGCTTAGCCCCATAAATGTGGCCTATTTACTGGACTGCCTCCGTAAACATAGGCCACACATCCACATGTACAATAACGTGTCGCACTTTGCCAAATTTTGATTTTCGCATTTAGGCTTAGTTTGTAGGGTTTTTTTGCTTAGAAGCATACTCACCCTCTTTATAGGCTAGTCAGAAAGTGCTGCCTTTTTCAGATGTCTAATTTTTCAGATGGTATATTTTTCGAGAAATTTCCAGATTCATTTTTACACGTTTGCGTATCAAAATTTCAACATGAAATTTCACAAAAATTAGACATCTGAAAAAGGCAGCACTTTCTGACTAGCCTATAAAGAGGGTGAGTATGCTTCTAAAGCAAAAAAATCCTACAAACTAAGCCTAAATGTGAAAATCAAAATTTGGCAAGTGCGACACGTTTTTGTACATGTGGATGTGTGGCCTATGTTTACGGAGGCAGTCCAGTAAATAGGCCACATTTATGGGGCTACGTATAGCTCATCACACACACACAACACACACAATGGAATATGTATGAGGGTCTAGCAATAACGGTTACTTTTTCTTGTAACGATCCGCTAAACAACGCAAAACCCTGAGAACTACTGTAATACATGTATGTACACTACACAATATGGTTTATACATGTATAAATATTGCAGATGAAAATTTGATATGTGATGAAACCAACTAAACAGGTGCTAAGTTGTCTGCTGGCAAAACTTCATACTAGGCAGCACAAGTTCCAAGTGGCAGCTGAAGGGGAAGTCTTGGTGCAAGACTATCTGATCTGCAAGCCGTGTCCAAATCCAGTGTTTCTTTTTGTCAACGGCTTTGACAGCCACAGTAGTTCTGCAATGGCAGGAGCAGAAAAGGTAGCCGCCAAAGACTGATAGCCGGACACAGCTTTACGCAGCACTGCAGCCAAACAGTCGGGTGACTTACAGCGATCTCGTTCCGTTGGGCACACACAGATGATTTCCCTGCAAGATGGGCCGATTGTACGGTGCAATGGTGCAGTAAAATCACATTTCTTGATCCTCTATTCACACTTCCACCCTCTGGTAAGTCAACGGTTACTAACACCACACACCTGTTGGCTGATCTTGGCCTCTCCATTAAGATCTATGGACTTTCACACTTGCAGCATTCTTAATCCAGAGGGACACACACACAGTGCAGAGTACAAAATCTTGATCAGGCAGACATTCTAAATCCAGGGGAGAAACACTCCAGCGTACAAAATCTGATCAGGCAGACATTCTAAGTCCAGGGGGCAGGAAGGGTGGCGAATATATTTACCTTGCATGCAAGGACCACGTTTCACAAATCGCAACCTTGAATAGTAGTGTTTTGTAACAAGTTGTCATTACGGTAACCTCCGCAGTTGTTTGTTTGTTGTTCTGTTTTTGTTATAGAGCTAAGAATCATGGCGATATGATTGTCACCGCGACACCTGGGAGCTGGAGCCACTGGCTTTGCTGGACCCTGTGCTGCTGATGCTGAGAGCTGAAAATCCGCTGTGACACGACTTCAGACTACTCATCGAACCTCTGCAAGGTTTCAAGGAAGAAAAAACCAAAACAGTTCATGAATATTCAGTACTGTAAGCAAAGGAGAATATTTGTGTGGGTTACCATCACAATATAAGTTATCCCGCGAGCGCGAGTGGAACACGGAATAATGTAGTGCGTCTGTGTCCCACATACCACGAGGCCGAAGGCCGAGTGGTATGTGGGACACAGACGCACTACATTTTCCGTGTTCTATGAGCACGAGCGTGATAACGAATTAATCTTCAAGCAAACTTGACGCGGCAGTACAGATTGAACTCGAAGAGCACGCTTTATACGGACATTCAGCAGTTTAGCGTATGCAGCTGGAATGGCGCTCGCATCTTGGAACAGCGGAATACGCGGAGTGCGGTATGGACCGAGGCCATGCTACATGGTTATATGTAGCACGGCATGTTGCCATGGATCGACCAATCAGAATCGAGGATTCAAGTTTACTTGAAGATAAAGGGAAATATGACACCCAAAGAGTTGGTTTTTCAATATTGAGTTTTTGCCCTTTACCTACTTAATACTGATCCATGATCTACATGTAGCTGCACGCTTTATACGCACAAGCACACAGTATACCCTCGAGGACAATGCTTTGTGTTCCCTTTGTCCCTGTAATAACACTCTCCCATAGACTAAGCACACAATCTTACTACAGAGGACCATTTCCAACAAAAGACCCAACTCCCGAGGACTGGACGGATCTGTTGCTCTCCCTTTGTGTGTCGGTCCTCGGGGGTTATGTAGAACACGTACACGCACACAAATGTGTGTTGACCGTCGATCATGGACGTCCTATTGCCCCTCTTTTGTTTGTACTCTTAACTTTTTAGGAAGACTCTCTTAGGTTTTGTACACGACCCCAATCGCGGCCGTATGCTGGGAATCGTGGACGATATTGTTCTCTTTTGTTCTCTGGTATTTTTCGTCCCCGGTTTGAAAAGATGAACACGTACATGTCTGTCAGACTTTTGAGAATGTATGTCGGACCTTCATCACCACCACAATTGGTCAAAACATAATGGGGCGACTGTACAATGCCAGTTGGAAATGGGTGCTAGGCTGCAACCGATTTCCTTGACTACGGCTAACTGTTACACATCCGTCTATGGGAAGCGGCTTCAGCTGCTTCCATAGGTGCGTGTGTAATCGAAAGCCGTAGCCATGCAATTCACATGTGGCTTTCAAATTAGGTTTTGCCCTTCACCGAGGTATATCGCCACAGGGAAATATGGCTTTGCACATGTGGCTTTGCACTCCCTTCATCTAATGGCACCCTACCTGAAATCTTCGTGAGACAAGACTTCATAGTAGTACATAATCTTGGACTTGTGATGGTGATGGTGGGCCTTGGCCTGGTCTGTCTTGGAGAGGCTGGAACTGCTGCTGTAGAACTTGAACTGCAAGATGTACCAGCCGGGGGCCTGACACACGTGAGAACCCTGAACCAAAAACAAAAGTTTGGATAAATTAATGTTGAGTACTTGTCAAATTTTTTAGATGAAATTTGGATACCATATTTTTTCTTTACGACCTTTTTGCTAGACCTTTTGGCTAGACCAACCCCAAATGAAGGCTTTTTGATATCAGAATGCTGCAAATGCATCCATTTTTTTCTATTAAAACCGGACAAAGAAATTGAACACTCATTACTAGAACAAAATCCGACTACATGTAGTTGTAGTTAAGGCCAAAAAAAAAAAGTCTCCGGTTTCTGGTATGGAGCTTGTCCAAAAAGTGGTGCGGCGACGCGGCTTTTTTTTTTTTTTTACCCGACTTTTTTGCTTCAAATGTCGGCTGATGACTGCAAATGGTGCCCGACTAAACTTAGTGCAAATATATGGGAGTCCAGAGTGGCCACATAAAGCTTATTCTCGATCATAACCCCATATAAAAACACGTTGAAATTGCGCCGCAGAAGAATTCCAGTCAAACCAGTGAGTTTGGCGGTTTTGAGACATCATCTTTCATTGAAAAAAAAACTTTTTCATTTTGCCGACGCGCATGGCTACGGCGACGCGCGCGCATACCAGAAACCGAAGACTTTTGTTTTTTTGGCCTAATGCTGGCTTTTTGGGGGAAAAATCCAACTTTAAAGGTATGCTGCTTTTCATGTACTTTGTTCGTTTCCGAAAATACCACCGCTCAAAATCCAAAGACGAATGCTCAAACCCTAACCTTATGAATTTTCAGCTCAGTGGATATTACACTTTTTGAGAAAATAGTGAAAAACCATGAACAAACTTTTGATGGGGAAAAACGATTTTGTCAATAGCACTCTGTTATTTCCAAAAATCAGTCAATTGACTGATCGTTGGAAATCACCTACATTTCTTGATTTCTTCTAAATGCCAGCAAGCCAGACGGAATAATTTCACAGGGTGTTTAGTACCAGTACGATCTTTAATCCAAGTAAGCTTTTTGATAATAATTTGGTACGTTACTTTTGGGATAAATGCAAATGATCCAATATTCCTTTAAGTTTTCATCTTCCCGACGCACAATTTCTGATTACAATTCAATTTGTACATACCTGAATACTAGCCCCTGCTTTGCAGACCAGCGGCAGCTCCACCTGTCTGTAGTCCACTCCGCAGACGTGAGACTTGTCAATGACCACCGAGTTGGTGGGTCCCATGGGGCCCATGGGTTCCTTGTGGACGGTCAGGGGCCGTCGCGACATCAGGACTGAGAAGACAACGTCCCCGCGCAAGATGTCAAAGTCCCAGGTCAGGACTTGGTGGGCGTCCGTGATGTGGATAAGGACCTGAAAAATATAGGAAAACCAGGATGAAATCAAGATGAAATCAACCTATCGGGGTTCTCAAATAACTGGCTGTCAGTTGGACTTGATGCAGGAACTGAAGATCATGGAAGAAAATTGGAGATTTCAAAATCTGGTTATCCAAATTTTTTTCAAACTAAATAGCGGTTATCTAATTTTACTGGAAGTTCCCATTCAGCTCACAGTCATGCCAACAAAAAGTGACGAGTGAGGTGCCGATTGCAATGCCGTCCATAGATCCAAGATGACTGGGTACAGTTTGCAGGATTCAATGACCACTGGGCCTTTTCAAAAACACTCCAGAGCTGTAATGTTGTAATAACGGGTAGGAACTCTCTGATGATCAGTCAGATAGGCAGGCTATTCATGAACTAAGAAGACCTCTAGCAAGTAGATGTGGTTACATTCAGAGACCATAGAGCAAATTTGGGGATAATCCAGTTGTTTTCTTGTATAGTTTAATTCATAGACTTAATATTTTTTTAAGGTTGGTTTCGAATATCCGGTTTCTAAAATCCAATGCCTCTCTCCACCCAGGAGTATAAATGGGTACCGGCATTAGCTGGGGAGTAACCTGCGATGGACTAGCATCCCCAGGGGGAGTACAAATATTCTCAGTCGTTTCATGCTACTGAAACCGGAGATAAATGCCGACCTGATGGGCCACATTGGCTCGTGCAGACTATACTTTTTTTATTTGACTATCAGAGACATTTCGTTATGAGTTGGTTGATCTTGTTTACCTCTTGAGGTAGACCTTTCTGCACTGTGGCTGATTTGTAGACGGTCTCTGAGCACAGGGGTAGTTCATCCGGGTTCTGCAGATCCTCCATGGAGCGGTAACAGGTCTTGGGGATCAGACCGCCCTCTGGTACATTGCACTGAAACGATTAAAATGCAACATCAAGTTTGCGACAATTCTCAGCCTGTGCAACAGCTAAATCTCTTCCCTAAAAGATCAATTGTAAGGTCTTGGTTCTGCCCAAAATTAAAAAATCCTTCTTCCCATCAATTATGATTTTTTTCCCCTCCAAACTATGATGTAGTTTCTTCGAGGGATAATTTGGAGAAAAAAATCATCATGTATGCCTATTGGGGAACAGACTATGAGAGACGAGAAAAAGCAGGTCTTTATAAACAATTCACTGAAAAAAGGTACAACGAACAACTTTCCATTGGTACTAAAAGGCTGGGCCTTCAAACAGTCAGTTTATTGCTGGCAGACACTCTTAAATCAGATTTTGTACTTACAACGATTTTGACTTACGACAAACACATTACTTCAAAAATTAATATTAAAATAATGTATTTCACCTTTAAGCAACTTCTAGACTAATGAACTGTGTAATATATTTTGTAACATCTCTGACGTATTTTGTCGTTTAAAACAGATTTTTAACTGATAACCTTTCTTCCTCTTTTGTTCTTCCTGAAAGTAATCATAACATTAAGAAATTTTAAAAACATTACTCACATAACACTCCCCGCCCAGAAAATCCGGAATGAACCGGGGGTCGATATGGTCTGGCAAGCCCCCGATGTGCTCCATGTAGTTCTTCCCGCCGTAGATCAAGAACTTCTGTCGCGTGTTCTCATCGATAAACGGCGAGACCAGGGTCCAGATGACGGGAAAGACGCGCGGGGCGCGGACGATCAAGAGTTTCCCCATGGTCTCTGGGTAGTTTGCCTCGACGACTTCGATCATGCGGAGCAGGGCCTTGACCCCCGGGCGCCAGAGGTGGCGCATGGAGAGACCCTCGCAGTCCACCAGGCAAGTCCAGGAGCTGATGGGTCGGCCGGCCTTGCGGGTGGCCTCCTCGGTGCGCCTCAGCCCTTCCTCATTGATGGACAGGACCTGAAGAAAGGATGTACAAATTAAAAATTAGGTAATGAACTTCAATAAAAAAAATAAAAAAAGGCCGGACAAAGTAACTTACAGACATTCATGTACAATGTAAGTGGGTATCTGTGAGGGCAGAGATGGTTAAAATTGTGGTTGATTTTAGCTGCTTTGTGCCAGAATGGCAGCATCGAGCTGTATGCTCCCCTGGGAGCTGAGGCTGTCTTTGGAATGTTTCACTGCCCTGATTATCAGGGGTAATAATAATGAAAGGTGCTTTGATCTTTAGTGCTATATAAAGTATAAATATTTATTCTTATTATTATTTGAAATAAGAGACACTAACAATTCATTTGTTGAAATGTCTCTGTGTCTTATTTTATAAAAGATGGTGAGCATCATAGTTCTTCTATAAAGTAATAAATCATGAGCCAAATTGCAATGCCAGTTGTAATTAATTTATTGAGGCTTTACATGTTGAAAGAGGCTGCTTTTCCTAGATTGACACTTGCAGTACTGGCCGCTGGCAATTTGGCAAGAGTTTTTCTCGATAACATAATCATTTCACTTGGGTTGGCATGATCGTGGGGGCCTACCAATAGCATTTGTTTCAGAGAATATAATGCTATCTGGCCAGTATACAGAGATTAGCGACTTTGACATAACAGACCAAGGTTACCAGCTAAAATGCTGTGTTCATTCTTAAGCCTGGTTTCCAAGGCTAGTTCTGCATACAAGCAGCTGAATGAAATTGATTGAGCATCCTTACATGTCTAAGTATAGCCTCCTCTCCAGCGGCTTTGATTAATCCCTTGACATCCATCTGACCCAGACGAACAATATAAAGAGGTCGACCATCTGCGTGAAGAAAAATAACAATGAAAATTAACCCTAACCAGCCGAAACCAACAACAAATATCAAACACAATATCAACCTGTAGCACAGTCAGTTTCGGAATCTAATGGTGAATTAGGGAACAATAATCACAAAAGATCTTTTTTAGAGATATATAGCCATCAGCTTATGTCCATCCAAATGACTGTACAGGTGTTTCATTCATTTCTCCAGCGTAACAAACAACAAGTCATTCTACGATCTTTTAAATGTCATTTCCTTTGATAGAGTTTTAAATTTCCCCAGGCCGTCATTTACACCTGCTGGACCGAATCCACATCCATCACTTCCTCCTGTAGCAAAGTGCGTAGGATGTTAAACTTATCTATCCACTGTATACATGGTGAGTAAAAAAAAAAGGAAACCAAAATGTCAGGACATGTGAATTGTTTTTGTTTTGCTAAAAGAACACTTACCTTATTTTGTGATCCGTGGACAGAACCCTAAAACAGTGTTTATGTTTAAAATCCCGTAACTCAAAAAGTACATGAGTAATTTCAATGATTCTTGTACTAAAAGAAAGCTTATTAATTGGGCTTTCATATACTAGATTTTGAAAGTGCTACATGTAGAACATCATTTAAATAATGGTCCTGACATTTGGGTGTTTCTTTTTTTCACTCACCCTGTGTACTGTTTATGCGAACTTAACCTGACGAATTGTGACAGAATTGCTGCAGATATGTTTGAGTTTATACAGGCCCATAAACACATTTTGTAGTATAAAAATCAATCAAGAACTGTGTCTGTTTTTAACCATGTTCAACCTCATCATGTCAAATCTGAGGGAGACATCGAAATGAGGCACTAAGCATGCTGTTTGTAATGTGTCTAAAAAAAAATTGACATGAAAAGAAGATACACAAGATTTATATTGTAGGAACCGGTCATGTTGTAGTCTTGTCGATCACAAGTCTGGTGTAAAGTCAATCACTAGTCCTTCCACAAGTCCAGTCACATGTACCGGTAACAATGGCAAATGATGAACGATAACAAATGAATCTGTTCTCGTGCTTCATTTGAACACATGTAGCTTGTGGCTTGACTTGGGACTGGGTGACTTGTGTTGGACTTGTGAGGACTTGCTAGGACCTACGAGGACTTGCTAGGACCTGTGAGGACAATTTAGGTCTTGTGAGGACTTGTGATGGACTTGAGATGGACCTGTGAGGACTTGTGAGGACTTCTGATTGATTTGTGAGGACATATGATAGACTTGTGATTGTTTTGAGATAGACTTATGGGACTCTGATGGATTTGTTAGGACTTGTTAAAACTTGTGAAGACTTCGACTAGATAAGTTTGCGGTAGCACCATGTGAATAAATCTCTTTTGTGAGTATGTGCGGTTCTGAAAAGAACCGTAGGGACTCAATGTTTTCGAACAGTATACTCTGCCCGTCGTACCGTTCGAAACGTTGAGTCCCTCCGCTTCTTTTCAGAACCGCACATACTCACAAAAGAGATTAATTCACATGGTGCTACCGCAAACTTATCTTGTCTTAGTATCTTTCCACCATGCAAACCTTCAAATCTCATCTTGTGAAGACTTGTCATGGACTCGGGAGGATTTGGGGTATAACTATGATAGACTTGTGATAGAATTGGAATAGACTTGTGGGACTTTGATGGACTTGCTAGGACTTGTGAAGACTTGTCATAAATATGTGAGGACCTGTAAGGACTTCGGAAGAACTGTGACGGATATGTGAGGACGTATGATAGACTTGTGATGGACTTGGAATAGATTTGTGGAACTTTGATGGACTTAATTGTGAGCACTTGTGATGAACTCAACTACAAACACAGCAGGGCAGGGCATTTTGCTCACCTATGTCATTGTAATGCCAGCCTCCAGCAAAGGACCTGGTCAGGATCTCAGGCGGCTGCCAGGTGCTGAGGATCTTGTCCACCTGGTGCTGCTTGCGCCAGGCAAGAGACTCTGTGATCATCTCGTGGGCCTTCTCCGTGTTGAAGTCCCGCGCCCGCAGGAAGCGCAGCAGGTGCATGTCTTTAGGCATCTGTGGTGGGAGAGAGGATGAGAGAAAAAGTGAGGGAGAGAAAATGGGAACGGAAAAAAATTAACATTTCTAAAGCTGACACGAAATGTTTCTGTATTTGTGCTGACAAGTGTATGGACTCTCCTTGTAACTCACCCCAAGCAGTAAAAATAGAAACCATTAAATATGTTCTGTTCGTACTCTTCACAAAAGATATTTTTTATTTCCTGATGAAGTTTTGACTGTGTTTTTTGTAACGAAAAAAAATTTTCATTTCAATTTTGGGTGTCTGGAAACTTCTTCAAAAGGCTTTTACATGTATTTCAGTTGATTTTGCACACAAAAAGATCAACCCCCACAGGAAGGTGTGAAATACGAAAATAGTTATGACATTACATCTTTAAGAGTATAAACATGTACATGCAAACTAAGCAGTAAAACGTCTCATAAAGTATATGTACTCAGTACTGTGCACATTTTTGTATAAAGTGCTTGAGCTGGACTTGAGATTTTCCATTGACACTGCACTTCAGCCAGCCAATTTATCATACAGCAGGTAATGAGCATGGCCCGGCTTTTCTTCTGCCCAATATGATTAACATTAACGGCCAGTACGTATGCCTGCCTGGCAGATGCTACACTTACTCATCTCTGTAGAAAAAAAAAATTCGGAAAGAATTTACTGCTTTCGGTTTCGGACACAAACGGTTTCAGTCATTTTGCTGTCAATCCCACAGAAATCTTAAAAGGAAATTCCATGACTTTTTCAGGACAAAATAAGGACTTTTCACGACTAATTCCTATGCTGTTTTAGCATCTTAGGAGCCTGTTGCTCTGTAGGCATGGGACGCCACTCCCTTTCAGCCTTCCAGTTTGACGCAAGACCGCTGAGCACCACAACAACATCACAATGGTGCACTGCACGAGCAACAAGTATGCAATGGACAAAATAATATACATGTATGTAGTAAAACTGGAATGCAAACTGGAAGACTGCCAAATATTACACATCATCGCGTATGGGATGTGCTGGGTTCCAGGACTTTTCCAGGACTTTTTTTCTTGGAATATCAACTTTCCGTGACTTGTAAAATAACAAAATTCCACGACTTTTTCCATGACTTTCCATGATAGATTTCAATTCCCAGGATTTTCGAGGATTTTTTTTACATGACTGTGGAAAACCTGTGTTATGATAATAAAAGCCAGCATTGCCAGGAATAGTTGACGGGGTCTGTCTGGAGAAAAGGTTTCTCAGTGACATAGGGATTCAAATAGAACTTGTTTTTCTCTTTTCGAAAGACGTCATTTTGGCTATTAATAAATTTACGTCTAAAAGCGGAGTTTTAATTTGACACATTTGACACATTTATTTGTAAAATGCAGAGATAGTAATAGAAATACGTCAATTTGGGTGGATTTGCGAGCTCATTTCAGACAATCCTGTAGTAATTTAAAAAAAACAATTAACTAATCTAAAATAAGTATTTTGACATTAAACTAGGAGCCTAACAAAGTAAGGCCATTTCAAGTTATACAAGTCGTTCAGTGAACAGAAAGGAAATATGAGGAAATGTTGCGAGTCTGATAAGCAAAATGAAAGCTTTATTTGATTAACCCTACATCACATTTTTGTTCATGTTCCTGGCATTTTGAAGACGCCATCAATGTCAATCAGTCACACGTGTAGATTCACCCAAATAAATAAGCCAAATTTGTTCTATAAACTGCACACTACATGTGTATTCAACCCAGAAATCTAAGGCTGAAATTTCAACAATTCCTTGACAGTACACGGGCTAGTGATTAGGCAGAAATCTAAACAACGTGCATCTCCAGAAATGTGCCAGGAATTTCTGACTTCCAAACTCGGCCGCGGTTCCACGGAGCAAAAATGTCCCAACTTGACCATGGCAGGATGCAGATTTATCATCCGGGCCCTCTCCTCGGCAAATGCCTAAAATACCACAAAAGATGAAGACATTTTAATCTCTCACGACGAGGATGCTGCTCCGTATTTAGTTCAACCCAAGGGATCTTCAATGCTCAACGTCTTCTCAATGTTGATTAGCCAGACAGTTCCTGGGGGTAATTTAATGCAGCAACTGCGCTTATCTGCCCGGTTGAATTCCCGAGATGACACCACAGCCTAGGTTCCTCTTGAAGGGCGGGGCTAACTCCCACCTGACTTCTTAAAATGCTTACACAAAATGAAAAAGAAAACAATACATTTGTGTTGCATGAACTTCCTTTCATCAGAAACTCCTTTTATGTGGGATGCTGTGGTCCAAAGGTTACAGTGTTCGACTTGTGTGTCGTGGTGCATGGGTTCGAATCCTGACGGGGAACACAGTGCTTGTGCTCTTGAGCAAGGTACTTTACCATTATTGCTTTGTCCTTTGGCTGGGAGGTAAAACAGTACTGTAGGTCCCATGTGTTGTGTAATGCACGTTAAAGAACCCAGTAACTGTTGTTAGCGACGGGCAGTGCCCCGGTGTTTCTGGCAGTGGCTGCTTAATGCGCCGCAGCTCTTTGTAAACCCTTCATAAAGGTGCTACATGTACATAAATGGGTCTCATATTTCTTATAAACTTAAATTTACATATACCTGTCTTTAAAAATAGACATACGTTTAATATTATCAGCACCTTGAGTACCTAATAGTTGGTAGATACGTGCACTATATTATTATTATTATTATCCATACAGACAAAAAACCACTGCAGCCACCCTTTAAGTCTGATGTAAGATATGAGCCGAGGTGTCCACAAGACAACCTGTCTTGACGACCCCCTGGCAAGACCTGCTGTCATGAAACACTGCATGAGCAGCATCGTAAAACAAGAAAGACGGCACAGTGGCTCTGTAAACTGATCACGAAAAGTGGGGGTAGGTTTACATACATCCAGAGGCCTGAGACACGACAAAACCAAGATAATGCTGGATTTTTTTAATATGGCCAAGAATCTGTAGACATTCAAGAAAAATATTATATGCTTGGCAAAAAAAAGTATCCTGGAGAGTCCTTTTCCATTGAACCTTATGGCGATGTTCGTAGTTTATGTGAACCTGTCTGCAAGGGGAATTTGATAACAAAAAATTGTCGAAGGTGGCAAATTTGCTGACGTTGAACTTGCGCGGAGAATATCTTTGTCATTGACGTCACAACTTCTCATATTTCTTGGGATGGAAATTTATTATTTAAAAAAATGTATCAAACTACAAAAAAAAATTGGATCCTTGCCCTGACAGCATGGTTTTGATTGGTTTAATTTTTAAAAAGATAGACTACAATCATTATAGGCTCGCAACAACTACTTGGTGAAAATAGTAAAAATGTCAATCTAATGTTTTGAAAATAGAAGATCATGGGACCTTTCGATAAATTTAGGGTGCAAAGTGTGACCATTTTTCTGTCCCTGTTACCTCTGAACTTTGTAATATGCCATTAAATTATCAGTAAGAATGACTTCAAATGATGTTTTATTTGTTGAGTAGGAAGTTAGCTATTCCTAGTCACTCTTGGAGGACGACTGCATTAAGGAGTGCATCAGAAATATAAAATCATAGATGTCAGATGTAACAGGGACAGGAAAAAGTGGACATCAAATTTATAGAACGATCCTTCTAGCAATGAAGTTGTCGGCATTATTATGTTTACTAATGAGATGCAAAAATAAATCAGCCAATGGAATTGCTTAATTGAAACCGTGTTTGAAAGAGAACAAGTAATTGGCTGAACAATAATCATAACCTTTCAGGTCTAACAATGGTTCTTTTGAATTGATTTGGTTACAAATTTCTGTATGAGCTATTTTTTCTTCTTCTCAGCATCATCTCAAGTGGTAACAATACTGTGAGTGTACATATAAATTAAATTGTCTTCTGTACCCCCCGGTACTTTAGGCACAAAAACCCTTGGAAACAGAATGGTTTATTCAACATCTGCCCTTTGTGGAATTAAAGCCGCAGAGGTGCCGCAGTAGGGAGGGGAATACGGAATCGGTCGGGCCGACGTCTAAAAGAATTTGTTTCCGTCCGAGATACGCCGGAGATATCCTGTCAACAATGAATTATTCAGGATCACGCCTCCATTAGGAAACGGATTAGCAGATGTGGTGCATACCAAAGAGGCAACTGTCTGCTGGGCGGTATTTTCTTCCACAATTCTCTCTCCCCCCCTGCTTTTAGGACTTTTCACAGGATACACTCATTAAGGATTTATATGTTGTCAGCACATCTGCTCAAATTTTCCTACATACGTCACAGTGTTCATATCTGGAAATGTGATCAATATTTTTCTTTTTGTCTAAAATCTTGAAGAAAAATTAGAAATTACCCTTCAGCTACAAGGAAGTGTATCTGGAATCTTCTGCACAGCCTACAAAGCGGGTCTTAGGTGTTTTTGCCTAGGGCATGCCTCAGTATTTGTAACATAGTGTGTCACAGGGTTTTGTTTGTCTACTTAAAAACAGAGGTGTGCTTTTGGCAGATTCTAGCAAAGTGTTTACCATGGGGTTAATCACGGGGTTTGCCATGGGGTATATCACTGGGTTTGCCATGGGGTTTATCATGGGGTTTGCCATGGGGTATATCACGAGGTTTGCCATGGGGTATATCACGGGGTTTGCCATGGGGTATATCACAGGGTTTGCCATGGGGTATATCACGGGGTTTGCCATGGGGTATATCACGGGGTTTGCCATGGGGTATATCATGGGGTTTTGCCTCACCTTTCCCTTGTGCGTTTCATTCAGCCATTCTCTGAGCTCGATCAGTCGGCTCTCCTGCACCAGAGTCAGCGGTCCTAGGTATTGCTCAATGTAATCCTCGTCCACCTTGGATACCTCTGAGAAACAAGAATTCACAAAAATATTTGAAAATTTTTAAAAGGGAATCTTGCGTCGTTCAAAGCTGCTATTTTTGTTGACAAAACAGTACCGAAGGCGCGTGCGCAACCGCAAATCTCCGTTCACTGGTTAACTGCGAGTTTCTACTCTCTAGATTGAGTGGGAACCAGCAAAATTTGTTAAAATGCCTGAATGAGGACATATCAAAAATAATATTGCCGTCGTCCGGGTACTTTTACTGACATACCGGTACATGTAATACTGCAGTCATCTGCATCTGTTTTTTTGTAATTGTTTTTTAAGAAAGCATACAATACGCTGATTTGTTTTTACCACTGGAAGCCTGATACAATTAATAATGTATATTATTTTTCACTTGCTATCTGTTTTGGCTAAATAAACATTTTTTTTTCCTCAGAAATTTTCGACCTTCTTCCGATCCTATCCTCCAACTGTATCTTCCATAGTGCTGGGTGCTAATCTTCTATAGTTTGGATAGTAGCCTATTTTTTTTGTTCTAAGCAATGATTTTCTGCGCTTAGCATATATTTCTGTGCTTAGAAGATTCTTACAACTGCTGTACCTTCTTCCGATCCCATGCCCCCTACGGCGCCCCTCTCCATGGTGCTGGACGCCAATCTTCTCCGCGTGTTATCCTTGAAGCTGCTCTGCCTGGCTCGCGACGTTGAGGGCGTGCTCTCGCTCGTGCCCTCGCTGCTCTGGTTACGGTGCCGGTGGGGATGATTGCCGTGGATATGATTCCCGTGGTGATTATGATGATGCGCTTCTGCGTGCCGGCTGTTCACGCTGTTGCTCTGCGGCACTTCTAGTGACAGCTTCTTAGTCAGTTTTTCCTTTGGCGCCCCCTCCGCGTCCGGCGTCGTGGGCTCGGAGTTGGACGGGGTGGGGTCACTTGGGTGTAGCTCCGTCCACGTTGGCGGGCACTGGTATCCTTCCTCTAGAAGCTCGTTGATGTAATACAGTAAGATCTCTTTACCCTGGTAAACCGAGAAAGCAATAATATAACAATCATACATTAAAAAAATTAAACCGCGAAAATAAACACAAAATTTGTATCATTCAGTTGACGTGCGTACATTTTGATGCGTACATAATAGCTGACAATTTCATTCACAGAAATAATGGATGCCCCAGAAAAAAAAAATATTGTGTTACATGTACTTCAGAAACACCTGAGCTTTAAATTAGCCCAACCATGTTGACAGTGTGCATAGCCATTTCCGTTACGATAACAGAAAAAATAAACAATGGATAAATTCCGCATGATATTTTTCTTCTCTGAAAATGCCGTCACTTTTTTTTTACCTTCACATTTGACGGTAAGAACAAAATACTGTTAGAATCTAAAAATAACCAATTTATTGCTGACGCATTTTACACTTTAACCAGGTGTGCACACATCAGTTGACCGCGACTTTATTATGGAGAAAAGTGTTTGACATTTGGATAAAAAACAGAAATGTACAGATGATTCATTAAAGTGATTACGGCAGTAGCTAACTTTCATACTGATAGTATCTTATCTTAAAAAGCATAGTGGTAATTTAACATGGTTTGATGGCATGACGTCGAGCATGACGTTATTCATGTACTGAGAGACAACGAATACAGCTCCCATTTTTTTAAGTATCCATTTTTGTTTTACCTCTATTGCTTTCTTATGGCAACTTACTTCAAACCAATAAACCAACTGATCTGTTGATGGAAACAATGCTACAGAGATTTGTTTGCTAAATTGACACGCAACTGGAAAGTTAAAAAAAGAGCAAATTTCAAGCTTTGCACGACTTTATACAGTGTTTTCCATTTTTTTAATGAGTGTAGTGACAAATGAGGAAATTAGCTACAATCCAAGGAAAAGTTGCATACCTACAAATTAGTTCCAAAACTATCCGATTAAAAAAACAAACATCCTTTTTCCACAAGCATGTAGTTAAAGTTTGTGATAAAAAAAAATTCAACGAAATGAAACTATGTTGAACTGAATAACAACAATTGCATATTTGAAATAATAAAAAAATGTTATTAACAGTGTTGTTTTGCTTGTTTTTGTTTTGTTTTTGGTTTTCTCTAATATTTCTTTAACTGTTCGCACAAAAACCCTAATGAGTTTGTAAAGTTCTGTTTCCCTGCACGAGGCGCAGTGCTCACAGCAGTTGGGGCAATTTTCAATTTGGATGACAAGCCACCTGCTTCTAACTCGAAGCGAGTACGTCAGAAACATAAAAAAAAGGTTTCATCACAATCTGCCCAAATAGTCTGTAGTAAAACACAAAAATGCAAACGAAAGAAAGAACACCTGTTTTCCATGCCATGAGGCAAAAGAAAGAATGAAAATGAAAAAAAATTACCCGTGCTTGCTGTGCATTTTTAGGAAATTATATTGAATCCTCATTAAATCTCAACTGGAAACCAATGGTTTTTGTTTAGTTTTGCAATTTCACTTTCTGGGGGCAACAAGTCCCATGGAAATCAATATTTCCCAGCTGTACCCCAATCTTGCAAAATCCTCCAAATTCTCCTGAAAGATTGTGAAGGATCGGGGAGGGTTTGTCATATGTGCGGTTTTTTTTTGAAGCAACAAAAATGCTCAAAATCTAAAGATGGGTGCTTAACAACTAACCTGATGAAATTTTAGCTCAGTGAATGCTGTGTACTCCGAGAAAACAATTTTCCTAGGATCTTGATTTCAATTCAAAAGTTGTGTTTTGAATTGCGCCCGAAGTCAGTGTCTGGGACACGTTCTCATTCAGCCGATTGCAGCGACGCGATGTCACGCACTGAACCGACGAATTATAGCAACCGCGCGCGCATGTGCGTTGTGTCAACGCTTGCGTGCACCCATTCACGGCTTCGCCGAATTATAAACGAACTACCAACAGAAATGTCCAAAAGTGCGTCTTTAGATACATCTTTGGAAATGAACTTCTTTTATTGCTTTCTTCAAAATGACAGCATGCCAGAAAGAATAATTTCACAGGGAGTTTAGTGCCATTGCTATCTTTACACCAAGTATGCTTTTCAACAATAATTATGTCAGTTACTTTTTGGACAGGTTCAGTCCATCATTTGCAGCTATTATTGTTGAAAAACATGCTTGGTTGAAAGATACTAAGAGAACTAAACTCCCTGTGAAACTATTCTTTCTGGAATACTGTCATTTCGAAGAAATCAACGAAAGAAGGTCTAAAGACGCATCATTGGAAATTTCCATTAGTAGTTCGTTTTTTTATTCGGCAAAGCGCGCGCAAGCATTGACACTTGCACACGCATGCGCGGTTGCTGTTATTCGTCGGATCAGTGCGCGACATCGCGTACATGTAGCTGCAATCATGTCTTGGATGCTGTATTCAGGCCCAATTCAAAACATGATTTCAGCAACTTTTGATTTAAAATCGAGATCCTAGAATGTTGCTTTTCTCGAAATATACAGCTGAAGCTGAGCTGAAACTTCATCAGGTTAGTTGTTCAGCACCCTTCTTTAGATCTTGAACACTTGTGTTGCTTCAAACGAACAAAATGCACAAATTACAAATGATGGCCTGTACCTTTAAGGATAAAAGGGAATTAGGTTTTTGCTATACCTTCTTGAGGCTTGCTGCATACTGCTTGACTGCCATCTTCTCCACCGTGTTCTCGAAGCCGAAGAAGGACTTGACCTCCAGGCTGGCCGTCTGCTCAAAGCAGGTCCAGTCTGGGTTCTCCGGGTGAATCTGCGGAAAGATAGGGGGTAAGCCAAAAAAAGGCACATGGATTAATGTCTACAGGTGCATGGGCTCACAATGTTTGATACAACCCTTCCCCCTTGGCTGGAAAATTCAGCAGTGCCATCGTAGCAGTTGAAATCAACTGAGTGACAGTTTGCCCCCAACCTATACAAGAGGCAGGATCGACTGGCTGTGGCTGTTTGTGTAACTTGACACAGCTTTGCCTTAACTGCTGGGGATTGATAAGCCAGCTGTATCTACCAGCTACTTGCTTTTGTCTGCTGATGGAAGTTTTAGTTTGATCTGACAAACCAATTTTTTTTTGTAATTATGGTCATGAATACTTCACGCTACTTTACCATCCATAAATGACTGCATTTTCCTAGACACACTCAACCAAAAACAAGATATTTTGAAAAATCATGGTAAAAAAAGGTCAACTTTTGTGCAAATGAAAACCCCACGCTTCCATCCATAAATGACTACATTTTCTTAAACACAGTCAACGAAAAACAAAAGATATTTTGGTTATAGGGCCTAAACCACGGTGAAAAATTCAACTTTTTGTGTGTGTAAATGCTATGCCCAGTTTTTATGGAATATGTGTCTTAACTTTTACAAGTCGATATCATAAAATGCATAGAAAAAATATCATCAGAAAAAAAATCATGCGGTGATATCAGAAAATTGTACAGTACTGCATGTTTCTAACTGGAATTCTACAAGGGCCACCGAGGGACCAATTTTGTAAGTCACGCGTGGGCTTTCCTGCATCCTGTAATTCCCTGACCCCCCCTCTCTCACAAATTACTTTCATTCTTTGTTCCAAACCAATTCTTAGATATATTCATACACACGTTTGTCTGAAAGTGCTTTTATGATATTGGATCAGTGCCAAAAAGGTGGACACCTGAGTGAGACAAGATCACTAAAGTGGGTGGGAAAACTCCTGATAATCGGCAGACAATATAAATGCATAACTTTCGGATCTGAGGAGAATTGAAAAAAAAAAATTGGAAAAAAAGGGGGAAAAAAGAAGTTCGGCGTAGGTGTGAATGAACCAAAGTGCAAAGAAGAACAGCCCATCAGTGATTTAGGTACAGTGGGTAGTAGGTGCCGGTACATGTATGGCCCTCAGGAAATACAATTTACAGTCATCAGGACTCTTAATGTAATGTTTAGGCGATATAATGACAAACACGTTCTTGCTGTCAGTGGGTGGAAACCCCACAAGGCTTTGACAGAATGGCTTCACGAATATTATTGTTAGTCTCTCGGGAAAAACAGGTGTGTGCTGATGGAGATCCTGCAACATTTTAATATGGACTGCTCTGTTTCATCTGCTAAATTGTGAAAACAGAAACTGTGCAAACTTCTACATTTGTGTACCTTTGTACCTGTGTAAACTTTCAAATTCTTGTAAACTGGATCATTGCACATCATTATTTGTGCTTAACCCTAACCCCCTGGGCCCTTTTGGCAGAGAAACATTCTCAATCCTCCAAAATGTTAGGCCTATTTCTTGAATTTGTTCAGTGGAGGAGTGACCATTAATTGCCTCAATCCTTCAAAATTGTCTAACAACCACTGTTCATGGGTTGAGCGCTATGAGGCAGTGCCGCTGACATTCAGAAGCAGTGCTGATGGTATGGAGCATAATGCAAGGCTCAATTATGCATGGCTGAACATAAACAGTGCTGGGTACAGCCTATGTAAACTCTGCACAATGCATCCTCCAAAATCAATGGACACTTTTTGCCATTCAGCCTCAATCCTCGAAAATTTTGGAGGCTTATTAAATTCAAAGCGAGGTAAAATATTCATTCTTCAAGCTCATGAATCAAAATGAATTTAATAATGAAATAAATTCATTATAAATTAATACCAGTCTGCTCTGATGAATAATAAAAAAAAATTGGTTATTAATTATCTGCGAATGTTTAAAGCCACATTTGAAAAAAAGGGGAAAGTGAGGCTTGAAACGCATAAAAGTCTGGCACCAAACATTCAACACTTTACAAAGCCTATTTACACATACATGATTTGGTCACAACGACTACGTCGCTCAACAATGTCACACACACGCGTGTGTAAATGAAACAAAATATGTGATATGTTGCGCAATTTTGAAATTAGTGCAATAAGTTGCACGACTTTGTAGCGTAATATGTAAACGCGCTGATTGATTTGTGCGCATATGTAAAAATGCGCGATATTATCGTGCGACAAAATCGCGTATGTGTAAATCAAATTCAGGGAACACGATCAAAAGTGGCTTCCTCGTGAATATAAGGTCTACTGGAAATTTGTCAAATGGTCCTGATGATATCTGTAGCTCTTCTCCCGATTCTCCATACACTCTTCTTTCTAAGTAAGTCTTTCCCATTGATATAACACAGGGATATCAAGCCGTTTCCTGTATCGTCATATCCAGGCACGCGAGTGCCTCCAAAAGAAAAATTTAATCTGCGCAGACTTTTATCGACAACAACGCCGTTGCTAAGGCAACGATGATGCACTCGACTTTAATGAGTGGATGTTGATTGCAGATCGGAATTAAATAACCGGGCTTCCGTCTGTCTGGTCATCCATGCGTGTGCTGCGTATGTTGCGAGATATAAATAGCCCAGGAATGGGCTGCGGGGGTAAACCTGACGTGAAATTTGTTGTGCAAATTTGCACAGCCTGAATTAATTCTTCCTGCATGCTATGTATGAGTCAACACTGATGGAGGAGGGGGGGGGGGAGATGTAGGTTGAAAAAATGTTCAAGCTGGTCATGAACTTGTTACATGTGAACTCACTTGGTAAGAAAAGTCACTGGTGATAACTAAGACTAGCTCGTTTGAGATATGGGTCATTCCACCGGGTTGGGAAGCAGTGCATGTTACATCCATATATTTGGTTATATTATTAAAAGTATCAATGCATTCTAAACAATTAATTGCTCAAAATAATATTTGTCTTCGGGTGTTGAGAAAGTTTGAAATCATTTGAATGTACTTTGACAAAAATGTGAGCAAAATGTATTAATTCGGACGTAACATTGACAGCGTGTCAATGTTACATCCAAACATTTTTTTTGGCCATTTTTTACACCTTTGTAAAATATTACCCAAACTGACATTGCATATTTATAACTGGACACCTAATGCACCAAGACAAGCTTTGTGTTGGTATAGTCAGGGTTCAAATATAGCAGAAATAATACCTTAATGTGGATGTAACGGTGTCAAAATCACTCAATGAAAGTGTGACACTTGGGGTTGACACCGTGTCAATGCTACATCCACAACCAAGCTATCATTTCTGCTCCATTTGATACCTGACTACCGTAACAAAAGCTTTTCTTATTGTGTTGCATGTATAGTAAGAAGTACGTAAAGTGAATTTGGGTAATGTTTCACAGAAATTTAAAAAAAAGGTACATATGTCAAACAACACATATTATGCAGAGCAACTGCTAGCAAGGCATTGATGCTTTTCTTAATACATGTACATGTATGGACTTATGTCACACATTGTTCCCCACCCCGGTGGAATGACCGATTATATATCTTAGAGTCTCATCTCTCCCTTGATGCTAGAGGTTTTGGCACATTCTGCAGAATTGAGGAAGGTAGAGCTTGGGCGTATGGCCTTCTAAAAGTTTCAGCTCAAAACATAGATTTTTTTTTTCAATTACGATTGTTCTAGCAATATCGAAAAGTCATTCACTTTTGAATGAGGCATCAAGTGAAAATAATGCACCAAGGTTTAGTTTATTGAATTATACCGCCACAAAATTAAACTTATTGGCTTTGGCTGCCAGACAATTATTCGGCTCTCGCAGGGCGGGTTCATTTGTGCGCAAAATGAAAAACCCTTTATTGGGGGGTCGCAGATGCCAAAAACGGGAATAAAATAGTTTTTTTCGCTAACCAAAAACATACAAATTAAAAACTTGTTACTAGAAAAAAAAATCAATTGTTGGAAGCGCACGGGATATAATATGTTCCTGCACAGTGGGTTTGGGGGAACTTGGGAGTATTTGGGAAAGTTCAGAACTCCCTACTACCTGGCAAAATGGTAGGGTTTTTTTCAGGGGGGGGGGGGGTACAAGTTTCTATTTTTTTAAACCTACGCATTCACACAAATGCACTGGTACTGAGCATACAATGGTAGACTTGTAGCTGGAAATAGATTATTCAGATAATTGAATCATTAAAAAAACAACTACATGTACCGGTACATGTACACATGTACAGGTAGTGGGTTTCGAATATTTTAAATCCCACTTTTGTGTGCATCCGTGAAGTCGTGCAAGTCTTTTCCTACTTAATATGAAGAGTATTAAAATTTTAAGCCAGACAGATTAGTTTTGACGGTACTAAATGGCGTTGCCATGGCTCCCAAATCTACACAATCAATGAGTAATGAAGACAATCTTCAACTGATACGCTCTTCAAGGGCATGGCAATATTTACATGTAAATGTTTATATGCAAATCAATAGCTGAAATGGCACAATGCCATTATGTTTACACTGTAGAAAAGTCAGTGATAATAGTAATAGTAACCTCAATCATATAATTTATTGCAGAGCTCTGCAAAATATATCAAACACCCCCGCACACAATTACACACATTCAAAGCTTACCAGCATAAACAGGGTTTCCAGGTACCGATACCATTAAATTTCTTCTTTATACTACATGTACATGTACCGGGTATGTATATCATGAAGATAACCATGAGTTGACATGTATTGTTCCTCAGTCCTTCTGATTAGAAAATCACAGGTGTGTGAAAAAAAGGCACAGCTGGATTTTTCTAGGCGTGTTTTTTCTAGGTGTGTGATTCTCTAGGTGTGTGATCTGTGGTCCAGGGAAATTCAGGCGTGCAATTATTCACACTTCTCGGGAGGCTTTTAGGTGTGCGATGGCGTGGGGGTGTGATCCTCATCATTGATCCTCATCACTGATTCCTCATCATTGATTTGCAGCAAGTACAAATTTATTACGGCTAT